TTACAGTGCAACATGAGAACAAAGTTCAATAAACTATCAAAATCATGTGAAAAAAGGCCAACTCTTCACATGGATACAAATAGAAATACATATAATAAGAACACAAAGTTGACGTGAATGGATACTTTTACAGCCAATAAAAAGACAGTGAGTACAGATCTGAGAGTACTCAGAGTTACTGACACCTAGTTCAAATTGAATAACAACTAATAAAATAAATCATGCATCTGAGACAGAAGTTTCATTCACTACACATCCAACATCCAATGGATTTAGTGTAAAGATGTCATAAACAGTCAAAGGAAAAAAACTTGACCTTGTGCAATGTCAAGATACAGGTATCGACAGATTGTAGAGGGTGGCATGAATGTGCATATGTATATAACAATTGTGTTTAGTTTGCTTTTAAATAACTGAGAACAAAATCAATATTAATACCAATAAATACAATATTGAAAGATCTAAATGTGTTCAATTTCTAACCTTTCACAATAAGTTTATTTCAAGGATTAATAAGTTTACCTTGATTGATAAATTTCAAGTCTCGGTAAACAACATCTTGTTAAAAATTAGGATTTACTATACCATTTGAAAAAAGTTTTATATGGGTACAACCAAAATTCAAAATCAATTCTTTGTAAGGTTTTAATTAATTTCTGTTAACAAAATCCATGATTTAACATTTATTACCTTTTTTTTCCTGATGTGAAAAATACATTTTCTACAGTAGTAAGTAGTTATTAATACTAGTATTTGTGTTACAATGTTTCTTAGTTTGTATTTTACATATTTTAGGTTATAAGAAGCTTTGTTCCAACACCTTATGTAAAGCTGAAATACCATATGATGGTAGGGACAACTGCATCCTGAATATGGGCAGCTATTTGGTCCATTATGAAGTCTTGAGGGACTTCATGTTTCAGTTTCTGTATTCAAGGTATGATAGTTCTATATTTGACACTGGTAAGTTATGGTTTCCTACCTTATCACCTTAATTTTTGAAATATTATACAAAATTGCTTCGCTGCATTCTGTTTGTCCATGTAAATTGATATATCATTCTTTTGATGACTTGGAGTTAAAATGACAAGGTACATCATGTTTATGATTCTTGAAAAAAATTATGCTTTCAGTGTATTCAACTAGGTAGCTCAGGGGTCAGAGCATCTCTTTATGAGAAGGTCTTAGGTTCAAATCCTAACTTAGTTACACTGAAACAGTAAATACTATAAATGGAATCTTAACATGTTTTACATGTATTAATCATTTAATATTTTGCCCTCTTCAGTCTATCTCATGTGAATTATCAATGTACATATACAGATATAGCCAATATATTATATATGATTTACACCATTTTTTACAACAAAAACATTAAATTGTGATTTTTTGTGGAATTTTTCAGGATACCAATTTAATATGCAGTGAACATGATAATAAATTGTTGTATGTGTGCTTTTTTTTTATGAAACAATTACTTTTTCTTTGTTTTACAAGCAATTTGAGAAAACTTGGTATATGTAACTCAGGCTCAAATAATTTGACATTGGATGTTTACAGGGAGATTTTTATACCAGTCACTTGATCTAGGTTTTGAAAAGTCCCAGTCATTACAACAAGGGCTATCCATTTCACTTAAGAGTTCATTTGTGTTATCTTCTGTCTTCTGATTCCCATATTGCATCATCATCAGTTTGACTTTGACTTTCATTTGCTGAATTTCCCCCGAATTGAAGTAAAAAATGTCTGTTTGATTGGTCTTCAAAAGCAATATATGTGCATTTAATTAATCAATTTTTATTATAAGTTTTACTGTGAATTTTATGTTCACTATAAATGTTTTTAATAATTTAAACTGCCACCCCCCGCATTGTTGACATTTGTATCGATAGATTGATCTCAATACAGGTCAGATCAATAGTTCAAATTAGGTCAAATAGTTCAGTTCTGAAAAAAAGTAGTCCTGGCAGAACTTATCAAGACTGTCGTCAACACCATTTTATCAACATCTCGTTTCAGAATGTAAAGTAATTGTAGGAAAAAAGAAATGGTTCATTGTAAAATATGTACTGCAAGTGTAATTTATTTTATTTAAAGAATTTATTTGGTGACTTATCACCATTACAGTACAAGGCAATATGTTGGGAGAATTTGTTGATAAGTCCTGCTCACTTGATAATGTCTCCTCACTTGCACGCGCTAACTGGATACGAGTTTTACAGATATGTTGAGGAAGCTGATATAGCGGTAGGGAAGGATGATAATGCCTACTCTCTTCTCAAAGCTGTGAGACATGAGAATAACGGAGCGATGGAGCAGGATGATATAGGCGAAGGGAAGGACGATTATGCCTGCTCTTGTCTCAAAGCCATGATATGAGAATTATGGAGCGACTGAGCAGGTTAATATAGGTGTATAGTGAAGGACGATAAATAATAAAATATACCAGCATTATTTAACCCAATAAGCTTTGATTTCTGTTGTTTACCTCACAGTGACTTTCAACATGTCACAAAGGCTCGCATATCATTTTCTCTCATTTTCTATTTCAGGGTCACCATGTTTTCGTTTTACAATGTGTTAACTCAACACCATATTGATGCTGGGAATGATGACTTCAAAAAGATTTTCCCATATAGTTATTTTAGACATAGTTGGTATAGTTTTCTTGCAAAACTGGACATTGACTACGATGCTGATTTCATTTGTGATCATCCAGAATGTGGTTCCCAACCACAAACTCTGCTGTTTGATGGAACAAGTTTATCATTTCAAAAACAGTTTCACCATGATCTGTCCTTAATAACAGATTATACCCAAGAAAGACTGAAAGGGAGATAAGTATATGCATGTTTAAAACATAACATTACTGATCATACAAATCTTCAAATAATAGAATAATAATCATTTTATATTTTACATGAAACATAATTGATGTGTGTCTTACTTTTGTGGATCAGGAAGTAAAATACAGGGGTATTTCTGATATAATTATGACAATTTCGATTTTTCTATCTCACATCGTGTGAAGGGCAATGTGAGCTTTTGCCTTCACTTTGTATTCTTCTCCCTTTATCCTGCATAAAGCTTTCATTTACAATATTTTAATTTGACACTGCTCGGTGGATCTTATTCACAGTTTGTCTGCCAGGATTTATGTCACCTATAAAGTTTGTGATTTTTCATTCAGGATGGAAGTTGGTTAAAAATAATCAATCTGTCAGAATTAACTTTAACTATCACAACACATTTTAACTATCATCACACTCAATATAACTATCAACACACTCAATACAACTATAACCATGTTTAATTTGACTATCACCACACCAAACCACACAACACTCAATATATCTATCACCACACTCATAACTCTTACCACACTCAATTTAACTATTACCACACTTAAAATAACTATCATCACACTTAATATAACAATCACCCCCTTAATATAACTATCACAATACTCTCTATATATAAATCACCACACTTAATATAACTATCACCAAACTCAATATAACTATCACCACACTTAATAAAACTATCACCACACTCAATATATCTATCATCACAATCATTATAACTATCACCACACTCAATATAACTATCACCACACTCAATATAACTATCACCACACAGAATATAACCATCACCACACTCAATTAAACTACAACCACACTTAATAATACAATCACCACACTCAATATAACTATCACCACACTCATTATAACTATCACCACACTCAATATAACTATCACCACACTCAATATATCTATCATCACACTCAATATAACTATCACCACACTCATTATAACTATCACCACACTCAAAAATACAATCACCACACCCAATATAACTATCACCACACTTAACAAAACTCTCGCCAAACTCAATATATCTATCATCACACTAAATATAACTATCATCACACTAAATACAACTATCCCCACACTCATAATAACTATCACCACACTCAATAATACTATCACTACACTCAATATAACTACCACCACACAGATTATAACTATCACCACACTCAATTAAACTACCACCAAACTTAATAATACTAGCACTACACTCAATATTACTATCACCAAACTCAATATAACTATCACCACACTTAATAAAACTCAACAAACTCAATATATTTATCACCACACTCAATTAAACTACCATCGAACTTAATAATACTATCATTAAACTCTATATAGCTATTATCAAACTTAATATAACTACCACCACACTCAATATAACTATCAACAAACTCAATATAACTTTCACCACACTAAATAAAACTCTCACCAAACTCAATATAACTATCATCACACTCATTATAACTATCACCACACTCAATATAACTATCACCACACTCAATATAACTATCACCACACAGAATATAACCATCACCACACTCAATTAAACTACAACCACACTTAATAATACAATCACCACACTCAATATAACTATCACCACACTCATTATAACTATCACCACACTCAATATAACTATCACCACACTCAATATATCTATCATCACACTCAATATAACTATCACCACACTCATTATAACTATCACCACACTCAAAATTACAATCACCACACCCAATATAACTATCACCACACTTAACAAAACTCTCGCCAAACTCAATATATCTATCATCACACTAAATATATAACTATCATCACACTAAATATAACTATCACCACACTCATAATAACTATCACCACACTCGATAATACTATCACTACACTCAATATAACTACCACCACACAGATTATAACTATCACCACACTCAATTAAACTACCACCAAACTTAATAATACTAGCACTACACTCAATATTACTATCACCAAACTCAATATAACTATCACCACACTTAATAAAATTCAACAAACTCAATATATTTATCACCACACTCAATTAAACTACCATCGAACTTAATAATACTATCATTAGACTCTATATAGCTATTATCAAACTTAATATAACTACCACCACACTCAATATAACTATCAACAAACTCAATATAACTTTCACCACACTTAATAAAACTCTCACCAAACTCAATATAACTATCATCACACTCATTATAACTATCACCACACTCATTATAACTATCACAACACTGAATATAACTACCACCACATGGAATATAACTATCACCACACTCAATTAAACTACCACCAAAATTAATAATACTATCACCACACACTATATATATATCTATCACCACACTCAATATAACTGTCACCACACTCAATATAACTATCACTACACATAATATAACTAGCATAACACTCAATCAGTTTACCATTAAACTTTTCATTTAAATTGTATATATGCTTCAACAGATATTGTATTAGTTTTTTTCACTTTATACCAGGCACAAAGATAGAGTATTTATTAAAGATAAGACAACAAGAGATATGATGTTATCATTTTGTAAGAAAGATGCCATGTTCCCACACAATGATTTTGTAAGAATGAAAAACAGGGTGAAAACACAGCAAGAATCATTAGATGGATTTTTGGTACATTTAGAAGATATTGGTATGTTGTATATTGTTAGATATTGTGCATATTCACCAATGTAAACCCTTCATATTTTTTGTCATTTTTACATGGTATTGATTTGTATATAGTTAAATTATATTCCCTTCTATGGCTTGATATAAAGCTATGATTTAACATATAAAATTTCCAGCAGTCCATGGCATTCTTGAATAATTTTTTAAAGTCATACAAAACTTCAAAATAAAACATGTTTTAAATACTTGCATGGCAAAACAAGTGAACGTGAACTTTTTTTCAAAAAAATTCCTTTATCTTATCAAAATCTTTATACATGTTCCAATATTGAATTATTGGCTTCCAGGACACTAATTTACCAATACTTCCCCATGTATGTTAATTACAACACATATCTATATAGCTTCCACCACCACATAGCGCATGTGCAAGAGGAAAACCATGATGTGTAAAAAATGTGAACACACATGTTCTTGAGGGTTAATGAAGCTTTAAATTTTAATTATTTCTCTTTTGTTGCAGGTTGCTCTCAGGCTTGTCCAGAAGAATATCGAGATTTTATCAGGATGCTTTCCTGCAACTCCCCAGTGTGTGCTGCCTTCCCGTATCATCAATTAGACAATATAAAATTTATCATTGACAACAAAAATTTCAGGCAAAATCTTCATATCATGAAAAATATCCAAAGTGCTATACCAGTATTGTTTGAATTAATATGTGCAGTACCTGATCTTCCACAATTTATGAGGAACATACTAAGTTCAGTAGTTGATATTACTACTAAAACTTTTATAATTGAAGAACATGAAACGTCATCTAAAGTCACACAAGATTCTCTGGCATATTTTCCAAATTTACCAAAAATCAGATGCAGGGGATTATATGTTATGGACAAAAAAATGGATGAAAAAGTTTGTACAAAGAAAGGAAGCCGTCATCCATCTCTCCTTCCTGGGATTTTTACAGTGTTCTGCCCACATGGTATGATTAATATCAATAATTGTTTCAGATTAAAAAATATAAAAGATAAAAGAGTTGCAATTAACTGTATCTGTCAAATTCGATAGTATTATTATTATTATTACTGGGACTGTTCAATATTTATCAGATGGATGGGTTGATGCAAAATGGGATGTGCAAGCACTTTTTTTGTAAATATTTGTATGGGTGAGAATCTATTTTATAGTAAAACGTTTTGCTATAAATTTTGTTGGCGTGTAGGAAATTTCTATGGCAGGCAAACAATCACAATAAATCACAAATAACAACTTTATTATGATTTTAATGTGTTTTAGAAATAAATTAATCATTTCTCGTAAAAACATGACAATTTAGAATTAATTAAATCATATATAAACATGAAAACACAACATTTTAAAACTTTGATCGGCTAACAATTGTCAAATGAATGGAGTTATCTCCCATAGATTAAAGCTTGTAAAATTATACTTGTTTGATATATTCAATATATAGCTTCTGATAAATGCTTACAAATATGAAATAACTATAGAAATAGATTTGCATACTAACTAATATTTACTTTCAAAATTACAGTATAACTTCAAGAGCACATGTATTTCACAAAAAAAAAATATTTGTTCTACATTAAATAATACCACAGGCTGTCCTCTATTACAGTATTACATGCTTCAATGATAGAAAACTGTATCGAATGGATGATATTTTACATCAATTCTAAAGACAGAAATAGGATAGATGTATATTAAGCAATATCTTGTTCCAAATATTTTTCAAACACAGGTCTTAAATTGTACAAGTATTTCTAGAACCAAGCAGAATATAATACATGTATTAAACGAAAATCCGAAATGTTTTATTAAAAGAGTTTTTTTGTGGTACAATTAAAAGATTATGTAGATAATGCATACCTCCATATTTTGATTTGATCTGAGTAAAAACGTAAAAAGGGATCTGAATATAGTAGAAAACTGATACTAAGGGGAGATAATTCATTGATTAGAAATATAACTGACTGTCATTTTAAGAAAAGATCATCGATGAGTTTCACAAACCAAAACATAAATATCAGTTCTATTCTTCTCAATTGTTGTTCTTGTTCCAGATGTTATTGTGTTGTTGATTGAAAGATAAAAAGATTCCTGTTGAATAGATAACTGCCCGATTTTTTTCCAGGATAAACTCCATAATATTTATAAATGAAATTATTTCCTTCAATCTTTTCTTTGAACTTTTTCTGTATCATTAAAGAACTTGTTTCGGTAAAACAAAACAGTGAACTTTCTATATTTTAATTTCAATTTCCACAGGCATTTGTTATGGTTTTGAAGTAATGGAGTCTGTAGAATCTCCAGACCGGCCTTTTACCTTCCTGAAAACCAGATTTAAAGGTAATGAAAAATTTATTTATTTATTTCTATCCTTATAAAATACTCCTGTCTCCATTTCAAAAATCTAGATATTGATATGCATTTTCTCATTCTGTCTGTGTAAGCTTTTTATTTACTAAATCATGTTAATACTTGAATTGAGAATGGAAATGGGGAATGTTTTCAAAGGGACAACAACTAATGACCAGAAAACAGCCAAAGGCCACTAATGTGTCTTCACTGGAATTGTTGATCAGAGCATCATGAAGTTTTGTATCAACATGTCTTTGAAATTCCTGTCTACAGATTACTTATAGCAGGGGTATCAGAAGTCACCAATACCTCACAGTTTCAATTATCTTATTGAAAGCTTTCATCTTTCTTTTTCAGTTCCACCATCAGCAGTAATATATGACAATGCCTTCAACCTTCAACAGTATTGTCTTAACCGAGACCCTGGATTTTTCAGAAAAACACGGTTTTACGTGGATGGTCTTCATTGGGATTGCCATGGTACTTATTTTTATTATATTTTTTTATCATTAGTGCATCACTTTTATAAGTATAATTTACTGTACAATCAAGATTTGCCATTTCTTATTGAATTATTAAGTCCTATTTCTTAAAATGAAATTTATTGCATTTAATTTAGTTGGGAATTAACAAGTATATAACATTCCCTGTAAAAAATTATTTAAAAAAAATTATTTGTATGAATTCACAAAACTGTTAATGGAGAAAAATTAGTTCATGAATCTTATTTCAACATAAGATACCAGGAAATTCAATACCAAATATAAAATTCAAATACTTTCAGTTAAAAATAAATAAGGTAGGTGTTTATAATGGTTGTCAGAATATTCACAACAAAACTTTCTATTGATTTTTTTTTTATTTCAAGAAATTTCATTATTATATCTTCATTCTTCACATAACAGTTGCCAGGAGTGTGTCATAAGTTATTGCCACAAGAAAACTTATTATGTTATGTAAAATTTCACACAGTACATTTATCAGACATACACATTTGCTTTGCTATAGATATTCGAACCCTATTCCTGGTGTTATGTTTATTTTCTCAGCATTATTTCAAATTTAAAGTTCTTGGATTCCATTCTTTGCCATAGTAAATAATGAAATGAGTCATTAAAAAGTATGTTTATTACCATGTGTTTCCATTATTAAATGGATATCACTGTCTTATATATTCATTACTTATTTATGGTATTATTTATTTTGACAGGTTGTGCAGTATCCTACAAAGGCCTTCTTTACCCAGAAATTCAAAACATTAATACACAACTGGTGGAACAGAACAATTCCAAATTAAAGAAGTTGAAGCCTTCACTTTCGTACATGAAAGCAGAAAATTTCATGAAATCAGTAACATTTTTTGAATGGCACTGCAACCAACAATTGAAAGATTGAATGACAAATGCTAGTCATATTTTAATTGCATTCCTGTGTAAATTATATACTTTCTGTAAGTAAAAATGTGTATTGGAGACATTCTTGAACTTGGTAGATTTCCTATATATATAAATATCATTATTCACATATCTATTGGTTATATATATGTTACAGTAAATAGGTGAGATAAGGAGTTACACGTAATTACTAAACCATTCAGTAACTACCTGTAATTACAAATAGAATTATTGATTACATTTATTGACTGATTGTTTCAGTGATTACAGGTATTCACTGATTATTTTGGTCATTTTTACAGCTATTTACTAACTTGATATTTTGTATTAAATTTGAGACATAATTCAAGATACTAAATAAGAGAGTAACGGGGTAGGGATTGTAGGGATTACTTAAGGGTTAATGAATCAAAGATTCCTGAAGACTGCATGTTCTTTAGTTTTGTTTGTATATACCAACAAAGAAAACCATAAAATCTTCTTCATAGAACTTAAAGTGTATATAACAATACAAGGAATTGGTTCTCAAAGATTAATTTTCTTCTTTAGGAAATTAAATTCAGATCTTAATTAATGTATGTAAACATATAAATAAAACTGAGGTCAAAGTTTTACATAGAAACACATTAAAGTTTGCTTCTTGAAGCAATAAAAAATAATAAAACCTAAATATTTATAGAAAGAACACATGTGAACTGAACTAAAAATAACAAGTTCAAAGAAGCATCATATGCTCACCAGATTTAGGTAAAGCAATCACCATCCGCAAATTGAGAGCAGTTGATACGAGGTTAAAGTTAACATTTTAGGAAAGCCAGAGATATTGGCTAGTTATAAGAGGGTACACCTATTCTGCAGTTCAGTCTTGGTGGAAGTTCAAACATTTATTATTATCATTTTATTATAATGATAGAAATATTTTGTTCACAAAATAGCAAAATGTGCAATCCTTTAGCTAAGGAAATGTATGTAACAAATACATACAGATATGTGTATTTATTTAAGTCTCATTTTTATATTGATCCCAAACTATAATTATGTTTAAATTCAGAGTTAATTGTATGCAATTATATTTTCCATTGTAAAAAGTATATATATATGAAAAATATTAGTTATTCAATTTTTTTTAACAGTTGTCTTGACTGTTTTCTCTGTTTCATTGTGTTTATGATAGTGTTATTATCATTTTTTTTCCATTCAGTCTGTTAGATGTGTGAAAGAATGAATAAAAGTAGTTGTATATTTGTGTGTCAGATTTATAAAATATTTATAATTTGAATATATGGACATATAGAGTATGCTGAAGGATATATAGAAAGAATATACAATATATAGACTGGTTATACATATAAAGATTGTGCTTATGGATACATGGAGCTATGGGCTAGAAATGAAAGTTGTATTCAATTTAGACTTGTGTATATATATATATATATATATATAATTTGTCTAAATAACCGCCGAACAATGTCAGATCTGTAAATTTGTGTTAGCAAATTTTTTGTTCTTCCTGGCAGGGATTCGTACTCATGCTATTGAGATATCGTGGCACCAAACCGCCTTGCATTGCCCTAGACCACTTGACCACCTAGGCTCTTCAATAATAAAGCTTTCAGCGGCCGGGTGTTACCTTTCCTTGTCAGACAAAAATAAAGTTTAATAATGGAAATTTACAGATCTTATACAGTGATTATGCATTTTGTTAATGAAAATTTTGCAAAAAATTGAAGCTATGAATAGTATGTGTAATTATGTGTTTAATAAATTAGGTGAAAAGGATATTAATGTTATTGGTGGTTTTTTATGTTTATAATTACAAAAAATTACAAATTTTATTAGTTAAAAAAGTGTTAAACTTAATAAGATACAGACTTGAAAGGAAAGATAAAAATTTTACAACAGTTGACTATAAGGAGGTAGGCTTACCATGGTAGAGCAATCTTCATATGTTGAGGCCATAGTACATTGACTTTTTGCTCATGACATATTTATGGAATATCGCAGTTATATACAAATATACAATACATATTAGTTACCTATATTTAAGGAACTATCAAAACCAGGTCTGACTCCTACTTCAACTTTCGGCGACAATAAAAAACAAAATTGTACAAAAAAACCAGTATTAAAAAAGCTAATTCACCCCTTCTGAGTGGCAATGTACCTTCTTCATGTGCATATTACCGGTATAAGTATCAGAAATTCTTTATAAAGTTTGTCTTTACAACAATGACTTTCTGAAGCGAGCAAGGACATTTTCCAAACAGGTTACTGATCATCAGCATGATTTATTCTATTGTTATAAGGCCAGTTTAGTAATTTACCTGTGCTATTAATTTCAATATAACAGTCACAACAATGGGTATAACTCTCACCCCACTCTGTAAAACTGTTAACACACTCACTGTAGCTGTTATTACACTGAATATAACTAACACCACATTCAATATAACTATCACCACATTCAATATAACTAACACCACATTCAATATAACTATCACCACACTTATAATAACTATCACCACACTCGTTATAACTATCATCACACTCATTATAACTATCACCACATTCAATATAACTATCACCACCCTTAAAATAACTCACCACATTCAGTATTATTATCACCACACTCAATATAACCATCACCACATTCAATATAAATATCACCACACTTAAAATAACTATCAAAATATTCAGTATTATTATCACTGCACTCAATATATCTATCATCACACTCAATATAATTATCACCACACTCAATATAACTATCACCACGTCCAGTATAACTATCCCCACGTCCAGTATAACTATCACCACGTCCACTATAACTATCACCACGTTCAGTATAAATATCATCATATTCAATAAAAGTATCAACAATTTCAGTATTACTATGACCACATTCAGTATAAATATCGCCCAACATAGTAGAATAATCCATGATCTTTATACAGATATAAGAAGATGTGGTATGAGTGCCAATGAGACCACTCTTTATGCCAAATTTCGGCAGGAAAGATGCTGTTTTCTTAGATCAATTTATTTACAGTTTTTGCCAAACATTATCCATACGATTTTTTGCTGCTTTGAATACCAAATGGTGGCCTTGTGTTGTTTTCTGAGCTTTGCTCATGTTATTGACGGTCTCTTTGACACATTCTTCGTTTCCATTCTCAATTTTATATAATTTGTTTCCTGCTGTGTAAAGCATGAATTGAAAGGTGTTAAAATACATGCAACTCATGAATGTAAGACACAAACAGAAATGAAATAGTTTTATCTAATGAACTATTTCTCAGAAAATTTGTTTTTATGTGTCATTATGATTCTAGTCCTTTAGAAGTACTAAGCATATGATTGTTTAAGGCTGTGTGTCGAACTATTGCACGGATAGTAACGTCGTCACATCGAGAAGCGTTTAAAACAATAGTGTTGTCATAGTTTGGTTCAGTTGGTCATGGTTTGTCAGTAAGGTTAATTCCAAGAAAGATTTCCACAGCTATTATCCAATGAACAATTAAGTGTTTTATCGTTTGTCTTTTGTTATCTACATTAGACGGTCGATTGTTATGCAAGTTTGAAGGGCTTTAAACAGGAGATTTTGGAGCACTTTATAGCTTCATTTTCTGTGTGAGCCAATGCTCCGTATTAAAGGCCGCACTTTGACCTATAAATGTTAACTTTTTAACAATCGTGAATTCAATTTGACTGTACCAGTGCGTCGTGTTACCAATACAGCAACTCTTTTCTTTCAATTACAATTAATCGAATGTTATACCTGGGAACAGTATATCTAACGTCATCAATATATATGTTCCTGGTTATACTGAAATGTCTATTACTTCCGAGTATTTTTGATCTTAAGATTTTTTTTTAAAGGACCGCTGTCTTTCATTAAATGTGATCACATTTGGTCGATTTATTGACGTTTCGCAAGAACAGATTGAAAGCTATTTACACTTGTCGTGTCTTCAAGGTGATTCCAGTTATAGTTATTGTGGACACAAAGTATTAATTTTAATGTTGTGGTGTTTTGCTGGTTGGAATACAAAAACAGCTATTATCATGTCTGTTGCTTGGTAATTGTCAAACTTCTTTGCTGCGATGGTTCATCTTGCTCTTGGTGGTTTTAAGAGATCAACTGGATCAAATTCAGAAACCAGCCCATCCACCACCTTCCAATAAAACTTTTGGCTTGTGCGTCTGTGTTGTAATTATTGGATTTCTAATTTGGTAAGCTTTTTTGTTATGCAGCCATCTTCCGTCTTGTTACGAAGCCGGCTCATATAAAACTTGCTGCTTGCTGCTGTATCCTCTCCGGCTTGTTTGAATCTGCAATACCCTAGGGATCCCATTCTGTTGCTGCATATTAAAAATTTGAACGTACTAGAGAGATGTCAGTTTTTTCTTACATCCCTGTGGACAGTTCCGTTAGTTCAATCTGAGGATGACTACGGTTTCGTTTGACTTTTTGCAACATTTCTAATATTCGTGTTCCACAGTTCCTCTGATATCTGAACTTTTAGGTATGGGTTGTTCCGGACTTGTTGAAGTTTGTCGCCGTTAAGTATTTTAAGACCGTTATCTTATTGACACTCATACCACATCCTCTGGTCAAAAAAGGAGAGTAAATAATGTTGAAATCCATATCACAAGTCAAATAATCTACTTTGAAAATGTTGTATAACAAATTAGTGCAGGATAAGCACAATATTGAAGTTGCTATGGTTTTGTTAATCGTGCGTCATGGTTCTGTTTAGTATCTAGAAATTCGTCATGGTTTTGATCCTATATGTGATGGTTCAGATCCAAATTAATACAGACATGTGTTTGTTTCATTTGATAAATGAACAAATTAACAAACAAGATACAATTATTACAATCATTTAGGCATTCAGCGGTATTGAAAATACACGTATAACGACAATGACAATACAAACATACGAAGATGTGGTATGATTGCCAATGATAAAGCAACCAACAGATGTGGATGTACGCACTTATATAACCTTTTAGAACGTTTAACACCAATAGACACTATGAAAGGTTACGAAATGACAAAATGTGTAATCATTCAATCTAAAAAACCGACGTAAACATTAGTTACGTAGCTACTGGAAATTAAATGTCAAAGAGTATTTGTAAAAAAAACTATAAATACTTTTTACATATTTACAAAAACTATATCATTATTAATGATGTCCATCTCTATCTGATGCTGTTAGAGCCATTCGATACAAATTTTAAAATTATGTCCAATTTTGCATGAAACTGTTCCGTACCGCATGATGTGCGTATATGGTCCTGGTATTTAACTGATGACTGTTAACATTGAAAAGTGTCGCATATGAGTTCCGGAAACTGAAATTTTGACATATTAAATCATATGGTAATCAATGTTACATGATTAACCAAACAAAGTGATTTTACTTGAAATCAAGAATTATTGTGATTATTGAATTTAAATTTCTTGAAAAATTCATATTGTTTTCAGATATTTAATGTGTTCTTGCTCCTAATGAAACGATCACACAATAATATTAAGATCGTAAATATTTAGTTTTAAGAAGATGATCAGCAAAAAAATGTAGAAATTAAAAGAAATTTGTCAAGTTCTGGAAATTTAACCCCCCCCCCCCCCCAAAAAAAAAATATAAAAAATAAAAACAACGGTATATGTCTCAAACGGCTGTGGTTATACTTATGGACGAAAAAGTCGACAGCAACGAGAAAGGCGCATTAAATTGACGCTAGCAAAGACAAAAATAAACATTTACACCATAATCGATTAGTAACTTGTGTCGTTTTTGTTTCGGAGATTGAGCTGTGTGTTCCTGGGCAAGCTAGATTTTTTTTGGGAAAAATACCCATATGGTCTAAATACTCATATGTTCCGGCCCGTTAACAACCAAACGAGTATAAAACTTATATGGTCCGACCATTCGCGTATGACGGTCGGACCATATGAGTATACGCATATAGTCATGACCATCAGCGTATGGTCCAAATACTTAAATGATTTGGAACAGAACTACGTCGATTACATAACTGATTTTTTTTGTAAAATCTATACTATATGTAACTTTTCTTCTAGTTCCAATTCATTTTGGTTAATAATGACCTTGTTATAATTTCTTATGACAAATTGTACGAAACTGCTAAACTAGCCAGAAATGCTAGGAGATTGACGTATCTTAAGGCATTTACAATTTGGTTATCTGTTTATAAATAAGCCATCACGTTGATAATACCCGAAAGTACACAATTGGTTGTAATTTCTATGGTTAAATGTTAAGATTTTGTGTTTTTGGTCAGTGTTTCTTAAAATATTAGCAATAGGTCAACTGTATGTGCTATATAGATGAGTGTAAGGTGTATATGATCTGTCTGGCAGGTATATCATATGGCATTTATCTTATTTTCATGGTTCATTGGTCAATGATAATTTATCTTGTCTCAGTTTGTTTCTTAGGTAATATATGCAATAAAAGTGTTCATGGTTTGGTCGATTTCTTATATACTATAAGCAATGGTCAACTATAATCAGTGCACGGGGACTAACTGCAGACCTGTTTCTGTATTGTTATGAGTTACAATTTATGACTATAAACAGCTAAGACCCATCAAAACCACATCTGATACAAAAGTTTTATAACACTTTTAGTTCTTTAGATGATATATTCGCTATCAATAATGTCGACTTCAGTATGTACACTTAAGAGATTTATCCTGCCGAACTGCATGACTTTAAACAAAGTTAATATTAATAGTTACACTGCACGTTCCTGGATCTTCATAACAATATCTTTAACGGGAAGATTAATACCAAAATTTAAGATGAAAGAGATTATTTTTCATTTCATATTGTTCATTTTACACGGTGACGTTCCCTTGTCACCCTCATATGGTGTTTATATATCTCAACTTGTTCTATTCGCTCGTGTATGTAACAACGTACTATAGTATTTGATTTTGATGAAAAAATCTCTGTATTAATGAAAAATTATTACACAAGGGGTTTCGATATCACAAAGTAGTGAAAATAATTACTAATTTTTATCATATGTACCAGGACATCATTCGTAAATATAAATCAACATGTGGATATCTTATACGTTCGACATTCACTTCTAAAACTAACAAAACCTTTAAACAGACAATAAAGATAAAAAAAAAACCTATAAACAGACTTATTAAGAAGGAATATAGTTGCGATACTGTTGTTAGGTCATTAAAAAGATGGTACTTTGGTATTAATATTGGTTCATCTCAATAGAGTCTTTGCCTCGGAAAAAATCACATTTATTCTGAAGCCAGTTGTTGGCATGATGCGAGGGATTGTGCTTGATTTTCGTATGAGAAAGACAAAATCTTTCAATCAGTTTAAATGAGGTATGGAGCTGGAATGACAGGAACTGTCATTTTGTTCATTTTCTTTTGTTACCTATTCTGACATCTGACTGAGACTTCTTTTAAATTGAGTTTACTGGGGGTTAGCTGTGTGTCACTTTATTCTACTTTTGCAACAGTGAGATCTCACAAAACATGTGTAACTCCGCCACATTTTTTAGTCTGCCGCAAGTCATTTGCATCTGGCCTTTGTTAGTCTTGTTGTGGTTTTTTTTCGCAGTCATCTCGACATAGGTACAGTGATCCGGCGACGGCGTTAACTAACTTTTTAAAAGCTTTACATTTTAGAAGGTGGAAGACCTGGGTGTTTCATACTTTGTATATGGATGCCTTATGTTACGAAGTTTCGGTCTGTCACATTGTCCTTGACATCATTTTCATGGTTCATTAACTACTTGAAAACATTTATTTTTTTGCAATGTTAATTTCTCTCCAATTGTGATAAATAGGATAACTATATTTGGTATGTGGGTACCTTGCTAGGTCATCATGCCCGTCAGACAGTTTTCAATTGACTTCAACCTTCAATTCATTTGATCAGTGAACAATGTTAAGTTTTGGTGGTCAAGTCCATAATTCACATGCTATAAGCAATAGGTCTAGTATATTTGGAGTATGGAAGGATTGTAAGGTCTACATGTCCAAGTGGCAGGTGCCATCTGACCTTGACCTCATTTTCATGGTTCCTTGGTTAAAGTTAAGTTTTTGTGTTTTGGTCCTTTTTTCTAAAACAATATGCAATAAGTGAACTATATTTGTTGTAATGAAATATTTAAAGATGTACATGTCAGTCTCTCAGGTTTTATTTGACCATGACCTAATAATCACGGTTCATTGCTAAGTGTAAAGTTTTTGTGTTTAGGTCTGTTTTTTAAACTATAAGCAATATGTTAACAATGTTTGTTGTACAAAAGGATTGTAAGCTGTACATGTCTACCTGGCATAATTCATCTGACCTTCACCTCATTTTCAGGGGTTCATCGGTCAATGTTTATATTTGTGGGTTAAGTCTATTTTTAAGATACTATAAGCAATAAGTCAACTATATTTAGTGTATTGAATGATTTTAAGATGTACATGTATTTCTCATTTGGTTTATATGACCTTGACCTAATTTTCTTGGATAAATTTAAGTTTATGCGACATTTGTAGTAAAGCTTTATATTTAGGACTAAAAACATAATGTCAATGGTTAATACAGAATGCGAGACATTTCAGCCTGTTCACTCTTGTTCAATTTTACTTCAGTTATATGTTTGAGCTTAGTATTACGTCCAATTTCACTGAACTAGTCCACATTTTTGTTACGAGTCCCTCTGAAGCCCACATCCAGGTGCATGAGTTTCTCGCTGTGTTGATGACCTGTTAATAGCCTTAGGTCTTTTTTTGGCTCTTTGGTAGGGTTGTTGTATCTTTAATACAATCCGCATTTCCATTCTCAATGTTAAAGAATGATTGTGAGGTGTACATGTATTTCTGACTAGGTTTATCTGACTTCACCTCATTTTCTTGGATCATGTTCAGTTAAAGTGATACTTGCAGTACAACATTATATTTAGAAGTATCAAAATAAAATGAATGATCAATAAAGGAGGTAAGACATTTCAGCCTGTGCACTCGTCTGGTTATATTATTATCTTGAAATCTTTTATAGATATTGATAAATTTTAACAGCCAAAGAGTGTAGCACAGTAAGATCTACCAACAAGTCTAAGGAATAAAATTTTCAATTAATCCTTTTATATCTGTTGTTAAAATATCTTTAAGTAATTTATACTCTTTTTAACAGAAACTATGATAGAAAAACAGATAATTTGTATGCCAAAATGTTCAGCAAAGTAATACCTACACAGACCAAATGTGTCTTTTGAACCTTCAGAGGAGTTTTAACCTTTGAAAGACATATTTTTCTTCCAACACATAGAGAAACTTCCAACAGCAAAAATGTTAACGATAGATTGAAACTGTTTCTCTTCCTGTTATGAAGGTATATTAAAAAACTTGAGTGTAGTCCCTGTGTGATATTTTTTGTGTAGTGGTAAGATATTTGCTACACAGACATAACTGAAAATGTTGAAAATAATGTTAGGAAAAAAAATAATCCAATCATACGTTTTGAAGCTAACATCCCTTTTGAGCTCTAATCTATTAACCAAATTTACCAAAGTACATCTGTATGATTTTTCCTAACATAAACATGAAGTTATTACCATGCATGAAAATTATCAGTCAATGCATGCATTTTTGCCCCCACAGAAAAACACTGGCAAATGTATGGACTCCACGTAAACAGATCTAAATCCAACAATGTACCGTTTGAAGATTGTGGCCCTTATAACAGCACAATCAGATAAATGACATATGCTTATTGTAATGTAACACTACAAACTGTTAATATTTACACATGTTTTATTATGTCAGTCAATTTAATAGTAAAACTGTGTTCTTGCACAGCAAAATAAAAAAAAAAAAACAACATCTTATTTACACAATTACAGAAATGTTCAATATAATAATTTCTACATAAATTGTTTGGACATTACCAAATGTGACACTGCATATTTATGCATATTTACAATTATGTACATATATTCCATGAATTCAGAGATGTTTCAAATTTGAAGTGAATCTTATGAAGTTAGTGTTTGTCATATACATTGTATGGATGTTCCTAAATTTAAATACAAATGTGTCTAGTGAAATTAGTCACGCTTATTTCTTATTGTATGAAAATTTAAACCTGACTTTCAATTTTAGTAATGTCATTCAAAAAAATCTTCACATTTCTTTCATAGTTTCACAGATATGTCATGTCTGGTACAAGGAAAGCACAACAGAAGTGCAAAGTTGAAATTATAATTCATCAAACTGTCCAGTTTTATGTAGAAAACTCATTGTGTTGTACTGTGGGTAGTATCATACATCTGAAAAATAAAAGTACAACCTATATAAACTGAAAGTTATTAAGATTTCATTTTGGTTGAAAGGGTATGTCAAGATGAAATAAGAGTTTTCTCCACTCTTTTATTAAATTTTTCCCGTATGATGATATAGCTTCTTAACAATATATAATAAAGACATAAGGTCTTTTGATTTGAGGTCCTTAAACTATGACTTTGAAATGTTGGTCAAAGTAACAGGTAAACTTCACTTTCTAGATTATGACCTTTACCTAAATTTAACATATATATGCATGATAAAGTTATGGAACTGTTCTCATTAAGTTGCAAACCATATGACCTTGAAAGAACAACCAGAATTGACCTTGTGTAAACCAGAATTAGTTATTTTTTGTACTTATTTTTATAATGTAAAAATATATTGAACATATATTTATAGAATTAGAGTCAAGTTTACTATCAATTAATACAGGAAGTGACATTTTTAAAACTGGAAAGAACTAATTATCTCCCTTATTTCAAACCTAAATGTACAGAAGATTTTTAAAATCAGCATATAATAAGATATCATTTGGCACTGAAAATGACATTTCTAATCAAATTTGAAAATTTTCCATATCAAAATATATCGTTTCGGATAGAAAGACCTTAAATTATTTTCTGAACAATTGGTTTTATAATATTGTTTTTTTTTTTTTGTTATTGGTGTTGTTGTATACATTTTTCACGTGTTTATGTATTATATATATATATATATATATATATATATGCACACATATAAAAATTGCGGTTTTTATCCAATGCAATCATAGGTTTGAACATTGTTTTCAATTTAGACTTGTATATATATAAATATATATAGAGAGAGTGAAATAATTATTCTAAATTTGTTACAAATACGTTGGAATTCATATGTAATAACCTCAAAATTGCCAATGGAAAAAAAGAGGTTATATTGGTTATTGTGCCCTGATTCCAAATGACATGACATCATTGTGTTCGTATCAACAGCTGATAACACTTTTGTGATAAAAAAATTTAAGATTTTATCTGTCATGTTTCATTAAATTGTTATTACTGAGTTTTTTCTTCTCTTTTCGGCAGAAGTTAAATATGTGATAAATAGATTATAACATGTCTTTTCCATATTAGCCCTAGTATCATACCTCGACCCATATTGGCTCCCAGCTAAAGCTACAGGCTGATATGGGAGTCTCGGGATAATACGGGGGCCAAAATGGAAAAGTGCATGTTATAATCTATAAATATAGTGTGGTGATAATTATATATATAAAGTGTGAGGTCATAGTTATATAGAGTGTGGTGATAGATATATAGAGTATGGTGATAGATATATAGAGTATAGAGTATGGTGATAGATATATAGAGTGTGGTGATAGATATATAGACCGAGATGATAGATAAACAGAGTATGATGATAGATATATAGAGTGTGGTGATAGATATATAGAGTGTGATGATAGATATATAGAGTGTAATGATAGATATATAAAGTATTGTGATATATATATAGATTGTGGTGATAGATATATAGAGTATGGTGATAGATATATAAGTGTGGTGATAGATATATAGAGTGTGGTGATAGATATATAGAGTATGGTGATACATATATAGATTGTGGTGATAGATATATAGAGTATGGTGATAGATATATAGAGTGTGGTAATGGATATATAGAGTATGGTGATAGATATACAGAGTGTGGTGATAGATATATAGAGTATGGTGATAGAAATAAAGAGTATGGTGATAGATATATAGAGTGTGGTAATGGATATATAGAGTGTGGTGATAGATATATAGAGTGTGATGATAGATATATAGAGTGTGGTGATAGATATAGAGTGTGGTGATAGATATATAGAGTGTGGTGATATATATATAGAGTATGATGATAGATTTATATAGTGTTGTGATAGATGTATAGATTGTGGTGATAGATATCTAGAGTGTAATGATAGATATATAAAGTATTGTGATATATATGTAGATTGTGGTGATAGATATATATAGAGTATGGTGATAGATATATAGAGTGTGGTGATAGATATATAGAGTGAGGTGATAGATATATATAGTGTTGTGATAGATATATAGATTGTGGTGATAGATATAAAGAGTATGGTGATAGATATATAGAGTGTGGTAATGGATATATAGAGTATGGTGATAGATATATAGAATGTGGTGATAGATATATACAGTGTGGTGATAGATATATATAGTGAGGTGATAGATATATAGAGTATGGTGATAGATATATAGAGTGAGATGATAGATATATAGAGTGTGATGATAGATATATAGAGTGAGATGATAGATATATAGATTGTGGTGATAGATATAAAGAGTATGGTGATAGATATATAGAGTGTGGTAATGGATATATAGAGTATGGTGATAGATATATAGAGTGTGGTGATAGATATATACAGTGTGGTGATAGATATATATAGTGAGGTGAAAGATATATAGAGTATGGTGATAGATATATAGAGTGAGATGATAGATATATAGAGTGTGATGATAGATATATAGAGTGAGATGATAGATATATAGATTGTGGTGATAGATATAAAGAGTATGGTGATAGATATATAGAGTGTGGTAATGGATATATAGAGTATGGTGATAGATATATAGAGTGTGGTGATAGATATATACAGTGTGGTGATAGATATATATAGTGAGGTGATAGATATATAGAGTATGGTGATAGATATATAATAAGTGTGATGATATTGTGGTGATAGATATATAGAGTGTGATGATAGATATATAGAGTGAGATGATAGATATATAGATTGTGGTGATAGATATAAAGAGTATGGTGATAGATATATATAGTGAGGTGATAGATATATAGAGTATGGTGATAGATATATAATAAGTGTGATGATATTGTGGTGATAGATATATAGAGTGAGATGATAGATATATAGAGTGTGATGATAGATATATAGAGTGTGGTGATAGATATAGAGTGTGGTGATAGATATATATAGTGAGGTGATAGATATATAGAGTATGGTGATAGATATATAGAGTGAGATGATAGATATATAGAGTGTGATGATAGATATATAGAGTGAGATGATAGATATATAGATTGTGGTGATAGATATAAAGAGTATGGTGATAGATATATAGAGTGTGGTAATGGATATATAGAGTATGGTGATAGATATATAGAGTGTGGTGATAGATATATACAGTGTGGTGATAGATATATATAGTGAGGTGATAGATATATAGAGTATGGTGATAGATATATAATAAGTGTGATGATATTGTGGTGATAGATATATAGAGTGAGATGATAGATATATAGAGTGTGATGATAGATATATAGAGTGTGGTGATAGATATAGAGTGTGGTGATAGATATATAGAGTGTAATGATAGATATATAAAGTATTGTGATATATATATAGATTGTGGTGATAGATATATATAAAGTATGGTGATAGATATATAGAGTGTGGTGATAGATATATAGAGTATGATGATAGATATATAGAGTGTGGTGATAGATATATAGAGTATGGTGATAGATATATAGAGTGTGGTGATAGATATATAGAGTGAGGTGATAAATATATAGAGTGAGATGATAGATATATAGAGTGTGATGATAGATATATATAGTGAAGTGATGGATATATATAGTGTTGTGATAGATATATAGATTGTGGTGATAGATATAAAGAGTATGGTGATAGATATATAGAGTGTGGTGATAGATATATATATATATATATATATGCCTTTTTTCCGATCTATTAATGATCTGTTGACTGATATCAATGATTTTTTTCTCTACTTACCGTACATCATTTTGAACTTCACAAATTATTCTTTTGCTGATAGAAGTAAATGTAACCATTCATCTGGAATTACAAAGTTTCATAACTAATTGCATGAAAATAGTTGTGATGCAAATCAATAAAACTGGAGAATTTCTAGCACATCTAATCATAACAATACAGTGGAACTGAAATTGTCTGTAGTCTTACTGATGTCAAGTTGTTGGTACTGATGAGATGATGTAATGAAATATATATCAAATCTATCACTGCATCGAGTGAATACACTATTTTTCCACTCTAGGCAGATTAATATTGAAGTAGCAAATCCTACGTGTGCAGAGGCTTTTAATTATTTGAAATTTTACTGTCCACAGTTGAGAAATTTTGTATAACACAATATTTGGTGGTTGGATCAGTTTCATATTCAATGAATTTAGGAAAATATATAGACTCCGGGTGCAACATTTTCTTGCTGCATTGAAGACCCACTGGAGTCAACTGCAGATGTTGTCTGCTCTTTGGTCAGGTTGTTGTGTCTTTTATATATTCCCTATTTCCATTCTCAATTTTACACTTAATCATTATTTTCCAATGATATGCCCATATCTGGTAACAATATAAGAGTGGTATTAATGACAATTTTGATTTCTTACTTGCAAAAATCTGCTGCTCAATGTCATCTCGGCACTCTTTTCTAAAACAAGTAAGTCATCATACAAAAGCATTTTATCGCCATCCAAGGTATAGGTGACATCTGAAAGTGAAACCACATAGTTCATAAATATGATACGTAAAAAAAACATATATTCAGGTTAATTTTTAAAGGATAAAATGGTTGTATGTATAATGAAAATAAAATGGTATGTAACACTTGACTGTAATGTTAATTTGGCCACATGTCCCCAAAACAAAGGAAAAACAAAAAAGTTTGTGAAAAGGTTTGAAAATAATATTCTGTATTGTCTTAAACAATGAAGCCACAATTTGAAAAGAAAATTGATTGGTGTATTAAACATTACTTTGCAAATTGAACACTATTTCCGATGATTCACTCCCAAAGTTACATGGACAGTATAATATTAAACAGATAAAAGTGTTGAAAACTGAAACAATATGTACATAGAATGTCATCACTTATCATTTAATCATACAGCATCATTTTATATGTTTCATGAATTCTAAGCACAATGTCATTGCTGGGTAGCTGTTTTTGATGAAAAATGTAGATAGAATTTCATTTTGATAAAACTGTACTGATAAATACTGTAGTTTAAATGTGAAAAAGTCCAAGCTGTTGTAAAATAAAAAATGATCATATGTGTACATGATACGAAGAATGAAATTTACAATAGCTTTGAATCCAATGATATTTGAAAGTCTTCACTTTTTGCTTTGTTAAAATAGACACCAAAATGCTGCATGTTTTATGAAATTGACTAACACATTTGGTTTATGCTGCAATGCTTTAAATTTTAAGTCATGGGTAAGAAAGACAGGATTTATAATTAAAATTGGTGTAAAAACTTAGGATAGAAAATTTCTGTTTATAATAAGATCCCACTGTTTTCACCGGGATATAAGAACGCAATTATTTGTAACGCATTTTCCATACCTTACCTGCTGATAAAGTACACTGGTGGAATCAAACCACTGTTACATAAACACCTGGGATTATGAATAAAAATTAATTGATTTGTGGATGTTAATTAGCCGATTGCAGCATACACATAAGATATGAAGGAAATAAAAATGAAAATAAATATATAAATATAAAAAAACAATAACAAAATGTAACAGATCAGTAAATCCAACAGAACAAATTTCAAACATACAATGCCCACATGAGACGGAAGTTCCTGTATGGACCTGGAATAAGCATTTAAAAAAATGTACCTTGACATATGTAACTCACAAAGTGAGGTAGGTATAAAAAATTAAGTGCAAATGTTCTTTAATAGCAATTATGTCCTAACAACATCATTAAGTAAATAAATAAAGCACATTTTTGGATTTTTAAAACAATTCATCAATATCTTAGAGAAATAAAGGGTTCAGAGTAAACTCTATGCGATTTCTGTTATAATAAATTTTTCCAAAGGGTATAACTCTTTTTAAAGAAGTTGATCGGCCACAATTACTCAACCCTTATGAGATATTGCTGATATTAACCTATAGTATAATTTTTATAAAAATCTTGCAAGAATTGTACCCATGAAATCCCTAATGAGGTCATTTTTCCATAAATTTTTTTTTCTATTAGGCACAACTCTTTTCAAAAACAGACGCAAATATGAGAGCCAAGTATTTCTATGTCTATCACAAAAGCGTTTGCGGGGAACAATAACATTAAACTCTCCAAGAACAGTATGTTGTTAGTAGTGATTCTTTTATAGTATGAACAATAAATCGTTAAGAACAGACTCATACCAGATATTATTTAGAACTTTAAAATATTGAGCCCTGGATTTTGGATTAATTGTTTTTGTATTATTATTTAATAGTACTTACGATAACAGCACTTAATTCCCAATAATTGCTGGTGTGGACTGGGAATATTATTTGTCTGAAATGTTAAAAGTCAAAATGAATCAATGTACTGAGGTACTGAACATCGGATGACTGCAAGTTGTTGTGGATGGTCACAAGCACTTGTCTCAGAAAAAAAATGACATCTCTATACCCGACAGTGAGGTTAATGTACAGTTATATTTTTTTTTCTGAGACAAGTTTGTGCGTGGATGATAAATAAATGACAGGAAATTCAACCTCATCGTTATAACTATTATATTGTTTTGATACAAATGAGTATACTCTGGTTGGTTGTTATATATCATATTAATATTTGTATATTACATTTACATGTATATATAATTTTCTGCCATTTGTATATTATTCTATTCTACTATATTGATAATAGTGCAGTGTAAGTGCATGGTGAACACTCATCTGTAATAATTTGATTTTTCTACTAGATTGTATTTGAGTAGGCATTCATATTTTCCTGCCAAACTTTCAATCTCCCATGCAGAGTTATCGGTCCTTGAGAGAGCGTGAGTACAGATAATGCGGCATGGGAGATTACAAACGTTCTAGAGATATCCTCCCGCATGTGTTGACCCACATTTTCTGTACCTGTGCATAGATATTAAAGAATTTTTACTTATATATATATATATTTATAATAACAAAACATTTTCATATTATTAATTTATGTTTTAAATAAATTATTTTTAGGAATATCCATTGAAAAAATGAAATTATAACAAGTGATAAGGAATGTTATTTTGCACTCAATAATGTCTGCGTATTAATCATTTTTATAGATCAGTTACAATCCCAACACGAAAGTTACGTAATGGAAATCTAGGTGACAGCAATACAACGGAATGCCCTCACGGTCATCCAATGTAAAAAGGAAATTAGGTGTCTAATTATTTTTATATAAAAGTGCTGTATGTTGAATATTAGATGTACCATATATCTTAGTATGAGAACACACTAAAACAGAACAAATAATATTGAGAAAAACACTTCATGCTTATATGCATACGTCTATGAAATATAATTTTGGATACTCTCTTGTGTGGGCACTTCTTTGAGAAGCATGAAATTGTTATACATGTCAAAAAATTCCCTTAAAGAGCATTTTCATTTCATGCAAAAATAATAATACTGTTAAAAATGGTATATATTTTAAAGACCCATCAGGCTGAAAGAAGGCTATTTTACAGCATGTTTGTATTAAAGTAATGCTCACCTTGAAGGTTTAACTGGTATCATGGACTTTTGATAAGTAATCGGGTTGAACCTTTTGATTTGCAACACTAAGGTCGAAGGTTCCTCACATACCATTGATGTTCTTATATGTTGTGTTGCCTGCTTGCAATGTCTACAATTCCTAATATATAGAAACATAAATTGAACAAGAATGTGTCCCTAGTACACGTGTGCCCCATTCGATACTATCATTTCCTATGTTCAGTAGACCAGGAAAATTGTGTAAATACTTTAATTTGGCATTTAAATTAGAAATTATCATAGGGAACATGTGTACTAAGTTTCAAGTTGATTGGACTTCAACTTCATCAAAAACTACATTGACCAAAAACTGTAACCTGAAGCTGGACAGACATACGAACGAACAGACGAATGAACAGACGAATGAACAGACTAATGAAAGGACGGACGAACAAACAGACACACAGACCAGAAAACATAATGCCCATAAATGGTGCATAAAAACAGACAGAAATGCAACAGAAATGGAAATGTTATTATAAAATTGGCTACTATCCTTTACCAGAGACCTTCATGACTTGGTAAAGAGATTTAAAATAATTAATGGAAGTACTTTACACAACAGCATGAAATGCATTAAATATGAATTGCTGAAATAACAAAATAGATTCAGTTTCATGTATGTATGCAGTGTAAAATAAAGAAAAAAAAGAATGCAATTGCAATGATATTGATTGATTATATATATATAGTGTGAAGGTCGAAAGATGATGTGAAATAAAAAGTTATTTAAATGTCCGATGTGCCATTTTTTTAAAAAACAGTTGTTGGTCCAACAAAGACAGATGAAATGACTAAATTACAAATCTACAAAAGATTTTTTCTCTTTGTAAAATAACTGCATGAAGGCTTATAAAATAACCCCTTCAGAGGGTTGTTATTGTATAATATTCCATATATTATATATGTCTATAAGTTTATTCATTGAAGTGAATGTGTGACCTTGACCTTAGACTTTCCAAATATAATTATAGATTAACCCTCTGGTCATAAGGAACCATAATGAAAAAGAAAAAAGAACAGTATTCTGGTATTTTTAACATGATGAATAAGTTAAATATCTTACACAGATTCACTGCCTTCCATTATTTCTTCATGGAAGAAGCGATCAACAGAATCCTGTAGTGTTTCATTTCGGCAGGCATCCACAAAAAGTATCGGTAGTGGTTCCTTGGATCCAGTACGTTCCTGCAACAAACAATCAATTCTTCTTAAACAAATTTCATGCTTTGTATGGAATTTTAACATATATATTAAAGTCTGACAGAAATTTCAGTTTATTTTTATTTTTTCACCGCACGCCATATCCAGAACATATCCTTCATTCAACATTTTTTGGTCTGTAACTTAACTTTAAAACCACAGTAAATATGCATTACTAAACTAAGTCTTGTGAGGTTATTGTCTTTGATTTAAGCTTTGGTATAATTTCACAAACACAGCAAAAATATCAAAGAAGTATATAATATCTATTTTTGCAATAATGGTTATTATTAACAAAGTATGCGAATGTAAATTTGAAATGATAAGATAAGAAGTTCATACCACTTCACACTGTCTACATTTCAGTGTATTCTTAATTTGAAGCAGTTGAAATAAACCCTTTCTCATTAGCTTCTGAAGAACAGTTTCCAAGAAGTTGCAGGGATCCTGCTGCATACCTTTGTCTGTGTCTCCAAAGGCATCATCAAAATGAAGTGAATCCTGTAATTTTTAAATCATAATTGAAGTTGCAATGCATTATTTGATCAATCAAAGAAAGTTAGAAAGCAGTTTCAATTCTGAGATATAAATTATTCATTCAGATAAGGTAAAGGGAGAAATTGGCTTTAAAAAATGAACCTGTCCATGGGACAAAGAAGCACCATACATTAAAATGATTTCTAAATTGGGTAGTTTACAATGTCGAATGATCTCATATATGTAATTGTATGGAGATAATATTAATAGAACGATCCTCAAATTCAAAAATATGATATTTAAACAGTATGAAGTTATCCAATAAATTTGGTTACTGTCCTAATATTCTGAAGTAACAGAAATCTTCAAAGAACCTAAGTTAAATATGGTCTTCTTATAGATTTATCCCTGAAGTGACCTATGATTATACCCCTGGGGAGACCATTATGATAAACATTCTTCTTCAATGTGTGCCTATAGGTGTACATACTTATCATCCAGAAAGCATAAAAGAAACAGTAAGTATTAAATACAAAGAAGATTGCTGATCAAAATTTCACTTTTTCATACATTGTACGAAGTGTTATCACAATTTTGGATGTAAATGCAAGTAACAAAGAAAGACAACCCAAAAAACTTAAAATAAGAACAGGTACTTCAAGTTATCAGTTTTTTACCCTTTATGTTTAATGATGCTCATTATTTGAATTTTTGTCAGATATTAAGGATCCTCTAGTTTTATCTATGTAGTGCCATTGATTTTTTTTGGCCCACTAATCCCATTTTTTCTTTCCATATGATTACATGCAGTTCAAAATGTCATCTTTTTGGGGAAAATCATATAAAATCCTTGTTAATTTTTCCTTTGAAACAAAAAAGGTGTGAATGTTAAATGTATAAAAAATCTTTTAAAAAGCGTGTTATTTTAGCCAAAAAGGAATAAAATTGACCATCATGTTGCTATATATTATCCTCAGTTTAACTTGTAATTTTGAGATGATTTTTTGTTAATTCAGGAATCATATGTTACTCTTATTAAGTAAAACAGGATCAGATCACTAAAATACATAGTATTTACCAGGATATGCTCAACAGAGTGATTTACTTTTGTTGGGACAGGTTGCTGCAACTCAACAATCAATTTCATTACTTTGGTAATGGTGCTATCTTCATCCAAACCTTAAATCAAGCATGATATATTACATTATGCGATAAGAAATGCATGTTCATTTGGAGAAATGATATTTGGTCAATGACAATGTAGAAAAAAAAAACACTGTGAATTGATTTCTATTTTCTCATATCTATGCAGACAGTTAATTCAGAGGACATTTACAAAAATCTATGCATCCTCTCTTTGTTATCATTTTCAATTTGCCAAGTATGTTATCTCAAATTAAGGATGAAATGTATCTATCCAAATTTTCCAAGATACATTTCTGGGCAATTAACAACAATGCAGGGAATGACATATCTGATGATGAATATGAATTTTGTGAACCTTTCTCATAAATCATGTGTTGGTTGTAAATGTATATTGACTATAAGTTGTCACTAATCTATGAATTTTATTTACAATAACTGAAATGTCCTGAATTTAGGCTGTAAAATTCATGACGTAATTATATTCTGTATAGTCTGCAGATTAATACATGCATGCCAATGAAAGAGACCTAAAGCAGATTAGTGTGCAATTGCAACAATTACCTGACTATCTCTGAACCAATAAATAAATATATGAATGAATATAACATGATTTCAATATTTTAAAAAAGTATCCATTGTAGTTGGGTTGGAGATTATCTTACTATTTCTGTCTAATTCTGGAAACTTGATTTGTTTCAAGGACTGCAGTGCCGAATTCAACCAACAGTTGTTGTTCAGATTGTACAGACCATGAGTGCCTGTAAATGAAACATTATTATAGCAAACATGCAATATTAGAATTTATAATGCACATGATATCTAATGACTTCAATTTTTGTTTTTTTAAATATACTTTTGAATAAACAACACATGGTACAGCATTTGAAATGGACATACAAATTAAATATCTTCATTGTTTTCTGCATTATGAAAAACAGAACTACGTAAAAATATCATTAAAACTAAAATGTTGAATTTTTTTCAAACACTAACTTTGACAATTTCTAGATTTCTTCTGAACTATTTCATGCTTATCTAAATTTTCTCATTCAATAAACATGTTGAATTAAGTAAAATTTTGACCAAATTGTTCCTAGTACACTATAATTGTGTTAAATTTCAAACTAATTATAATGTCTTAACAGAAAGTGGCTGCACTGGAGATGCTCCATATCTTATTGCATTCATTCCGTGTGGTTATTGTGATAAAGTGATAACTTAGCTTGTATGAAGATAAAGCAGCTTGAAACTTTGATGTTTCACATTTGAATTATATATGGTAATAAAAAATTTAAAATGTACATGAAGACACTCACCGTGTACCTCATTGTCATAACTGAACCGTGTGTTCGGTGTGATTTTCCACCTTACTTCTGTTTGTGTCTGTGGTTGACCTAAATTGTATTTACAGATAAATTACAAACAAAAAAGAAACACAGAAACAAATAAAAACTCTGTTGTGACTCTGGCTGTACATGTCTTGATTGTATATTCGTAAACTATGTTATTATGTTTCAGAAAAGAGGGACGAAAGATACCAGAGGAACAGTCAAACTCATAGATCGAAAACAAACTGACAACAACATGGCCAAAAATAAAAAGACAAACAGACAAATAATAGTACAGATGACACAACATAGAAAACTAAAGACTAAGCAATACGAACCCCACCAAAAACTGGGGGTGATCTCAGGTGCTCCGGAAGGGTAAGCATATCTTGCTCCACATGTGGCACCCGTCATGTTGCTTATGTTTCAGGATACTGACCTGGTGATATGTAAAAAATTGACTCCTCTCCTCCTTAATTTCCATGTGCATCATGTGCATCTTGTCATAACCAAGTTACGGAATAATTAATATGTACCAAAGTTAACTTAAACAGATATGAAGACCATTTATATCCAGATTTTACCAATATACCGTTTACGTATAGTACCCGTAAGGTTATTTACTATCACATGTAAAATGCAAATGCAAATAGGAGCAAGTATGGAATCAGCACTAATGAAAGAATCAAATTGGTGAACATGAAAGATCAAAATGTTTTAAATTGGCGCAATTGTCAGCCAGAAAACTGAAAATGGCCACAACTACATAAGTAAAAATTTTCTGCTAATGTGGAAAGTGTTAATACAATTTTATAAATGATCGCTTTATTAAAAGTGTAAAATTTAGCTATTAATGATTTACTTGATACAGGTACTGCTGTGTACATGGTTGGTCCTTGGTCCACCTCACACTGTAACACCTAAAATGTATATATTGTTAAAACATTTATAGGTATCTACCATAGTGTGTTATCCTTCTGAAGTGGTCATTTATTTTGCCCAAAGATAATTAATAAGTGTACAAGCCAACAAATCTTCTTTATATAATCAAATAATAACAGTTAAATGAATGATCAATCCAGAATGTTGTGTTCCCATATGAAACACATTTAAATACATGTTTCAATTTAATGTGTTTAAACTTTATAATTACATGACTGTTAGAAATCTGATATCATATACTGTTTTGAAATATATGTATGGTCTTAATACTGAAAAGAGCATTTATATAATGCGCATACAGGTATATTTCCAGAAGAACAGATGAAATTTATATTGTCAAAATACTCATATGGTCTGAATCAATTACACTTATTTACACATCATCACACACTATATACTCATCACACATCCAGCCGTGGACTGTATATATGTCAACATATTGTGTATATCCTCTGCCATGCTTAATTTGTTTGTGGTCAGGTTTGTAGTAAAAGTATATTTACCTCTATATTACCATCTATCAAAAAGTCACATAAACTTTCATTGGCATGGTCCTGTTGCTGAAAGTGTTACAGTAAAGAGTTAATACATAATTGTAAAAGTATAAAATTTTATGGACAGACAACATAGGATAACAATAGTTTACACTGGTCTTGGGCCATGTCAACCAAAAAAGTAAACATTTCTTCAATAACACAAATTTTAACACAGATCTAAATAATGACAGCTGACCTGTATCACTTAAGATCATGGGAATGAAATTTGAAAACAGTGGACTTGTTGGGAAAACAGTTCTTTTCTCAAGTAAATACACTTCAAATTAAATGTTTGGTATATAATAAAGTCCTGCATGGAAATCAATTGTGACAAGAAACAAAAATCTTGAAAGTAACATGGTCCTAAATGGTAGGAAAGTACACACCATAAAGTAAGCAGTCACTAAATCAACCCAACAAGAATACAGTATATAAAAGTAATACTATCCAATACAAAGATGTAATAAATAAGTTTGGCACTTTCAATTATGTAGATCGGCGTTTTACGTTTCCTCAAATTGGCATGACTTTTCCGGGAAAAAAAGATGACATTTCCGCCAAAAAAGTCTACGTTTCCGGAAATAAATACCTCACTTTTCCAAGAAAATAGTAACGATTCCGGAATAAATAAATTATTACTTTTTCGAGGAAATAAGTAAGGAGTACCTTATCTGGACCCCTGCTGTTGTTTCAATCTTATCTACACAAACTTCGTTTGTGTCGAAGAATCAATCAGCGGGTGGCCAGTTAAAGGAGTACCTTGAACTTTGTCCTAAATGAAACCTGCAACAACTGATTGTAGCAGCATGAAATTTTTGTAACAGCAGTATGCATTGCATATTCAAAGTCAATATGATCTACCTCGGACTGGAGAGTTAATCTTCGGGAAGTGCACACATCAATAAGCAGATCCCACATTTTGATAAAAGTGGAAGTAGCGCAAACACAAGAGGAATGTAGTTACCATTTTACACCCATGTATTGAATAATTAACTGTGCCATCTATGAAAATATTAGTTATTTCATTGCATATACGATCATAGACATTTCAAGTTGGTGAAACATAAAAATATAACAATTCCAACATCATCATCTTTCACTAAGGTGAAACTTTCATTTTTTTCATATCTAGTATATTGTAGATATAAGATCAGAACCTTTTTTGCATAAAAATATGAAATAAATAATTTATCTAACATATATTCAAGTATTAATAATTTACTACCAGGTAAATTTCCGGAAAAGTAATAAATACAATTTCTGGATACGTATACTTTAAGTTTCCAGAAACGTAGTATTGGAACTTTGAAAAATTAGCGGAAATGCAATACGCCCATGTAGATGTATACATATTAAATGATCAGCAGAACCTTTTTTGTAAATCAGTATAATTCTGGTATTCCACCATTTACCATATAAAAGGACCATATGTAAAATATTTGTTTGATTTAGATTTAATACATCAAATTTGTTACCTGTACATTGTCATTTGTTGAAGGACTGTTGTCATTGGATGGTTGCTGGAAGTAAAGTAATATAGCCATTTAATAGATAAGTCACATATCAGTAATATATTTTAAATAATTGGAAAATGCATTTCAACATATAACGTATAAAAGGACCATACATGTTAAATATCAGTTAATGAATGACTATAATATTTTTTCTGTCTACTCAAAATAACATAAAAAATTTGGTGCACACTGAATAACCGGTGTAATGGGTTATTTGAAAGTGTGAACCACATTTTTGATGTTATTTCAAATAGACAGAAAAAATATTACAGTCATGCATTCCTTATTATTTAATTCTAAGCCGCAGTAAATCAAGAAAAAACAGTGTTGACGTCACGGTCACATGACAAAATTATGTCTATGAGCTGATAAACAAAACACTGTCAGCCAATCAGAAGACATCCAAAATTAAATTATTTTGATTTAGATTTAATACATCAAATTTGTTACCTGTACATTGTCATTTGTTGAAGGACTGTTGTCATTGGATGGTTGCTGGAAGTAAAGTAATACAGCCATTTAATAGATAAGTCACATATCAGTTATATCTTTTAAATAATTAGAAAATGCATTTCTTTTCCTCATTTTATCAAACACTATTTATTTCAAAATTTGTTGTTAAATTATTGCTGTTGATATATTTAGATAACACTGTTATATATTTATTTTCTTAGATTGTTTCCCTTCCAGAATTTTCCACTTAATAGCATAAAAGCATAATAGCCACCTAGTAACTTTTTAAGACTGTATGGGTGTCTTTTAAAAAATACAATAATTCAAAAAACAATAAGGTTTCATACATGTCTTCCCAAAATATGATCCCTTACAAGAAGGAGTTTAAAAAATAAATAATATGATTTCAAGTTATAATACAACATCTATATATAAATCAAAACTCACACCTTATTCCAATAACATTGAAGTATGTATTGAAAATGTGTTATTAGAATAAATGTTGAAAATTTACCAAAGCATTCTTCCATGACACATAATGTAGCAGAACCTTATTCATCTCCTCTCCACATAAACTGCATTGTCCAGTAGCTGTTTGAACATAATTATAGATTATAAAATTATAGTTCATGGATTTTTTGAAATATGTCTTATTGCAATAAAAACTTAGCTTATAATTGTATCCTTCAATGATATACACTGATATATTAGGTAAAGAAATATAATTTTTATTATTCACAATGCAACAACTATTGCCAAGAGAAATGTCAAACACAGTGGTTTGTATTGAGGATGCAATTACGCTATTACTTTCAAAAACAGTCAAATAAATGTATTATTTTACTGAACTATATTGGTGAACTCAAATATCATGAACAGCCCACAGTGAACACTGTCATATTGTGATTATCATGGAAACTAATATACATGTCAATTTTTCCATAACATGCACAGACATATAAGTGATTATGTTATCAACATGACAAAAAAATTATGGTTTAAAGTACACACAAAAACCTTTTGAACCGTTTTATTTCAAATTAAAAAGTCCAATTCCCTGTAAGTAAAACACCTTGTAAGATCAAAGCAGATACCAGGAATCTAATCTAAAAATTGTAGAAGTCACTCAACATTTTTTTTTTAAATTTAACGACTGAAATGTAAGTACATAAACATTACATCTATGGCTTTTTTCTTGTTCACTGTATAAACATTTTCAGCTTACAAAGTTCGTATTCATTTTTAAAATTTTCAGTGCTTTCTATGTAATTGAAACAGTAAAACTACTAAATAACTATGCAGAAAAACTTATGGATTAAAACAAGTTACCTTTATTTGTAGATGGACTTTTAAATGGAACATCTTCAGGCCAAAATTCTGGCTTCATTAAATCATTCCCCCAATATCCTCTACTGATTTTCTTCTTCTTGGTCACTTAAAAAAAAAAATGGGTTATACACAATAACAATAGTACTTTAAAAGTAATTATTACATGACATTGTGGCAAAGGTCTTGTTATTAATTGTAATGAGTAATCAGAAATTTATGATTAACAGTAAATTTAATGTTTTCAATTACATGTTTAAAATAACCACCAATCATGTTTGTTTCATGATAGTTTCATTGACCTCCTCATGATTACATTTTGATTACATCTCTGCATAAAATTACAATCTGAATTCTCTCATTATTGTTATTAAAGAGTATATATATAGGTGAACAATCTTTTCAAAATAATGTTGGAATTTATTGATTTATTTTTTGCAATTGTAGAAATCAAAGATAAAGTAACTATGAAAGCTGTATCAATCACGTGGAGCTAGTCTTCTTTTTATGAATGAGAAATATGACAAATGTTACAGTTCAAAAAATGCTAAGGACCATATTTGGCCCCTTTTATAAAGTTCAATGTTACAAGATAAAAAATATTTTAAGATGACTTATAGACATGTGAAAAAGTTAAATAGAACTATTTTTGTAAAAGTTTAATTCATAAGCGTTGATTTTTACATCCAAAATAGTTCAAAATAAAGAAAATTTGGCAAAATGTGGTAAAATCCACTGGATTTCAGACAAATTTATGACCAGGATGCATAGTCACACAATATATGGACAAAATATCTTACTTGTTTTTGTCAGATAGGAAAACACTATACTTCAGGAACTACATGTAATATCTTAAGTTATAACTTCACTTTTAAAAGAGGGATGGACTCATTTAGAAAAAAACATGCAATCTTTTAAAATCAACCCATTATAAGCTTCATTATTAATAGAACTTTATTTTATATACTGTACATCAATCAATGAAATGCTTTGTACTTTCTAAAAATTGTTTTGGATCATATCAGATTAAAACCATAAAGTGAATGCATTTATAATAAATTTCATATGCCCATACTAATATACTTACTGTATTTTTGAGTGATATCCGATAAAAGATGTCTTTTGACAGTGGTGTTTGTCTGAACAACATCTTTGGTGATAGCTGGTAAGACTTATCGAAATATAAAAGAAGACATCATTAAGAAAACAGAATACTTAACATTTTAATCAATTGCAAAAGACTTATAAGCCTTAGGGATCTGTAAGTATTTAATATACAATTATAATATGAAATAAACCATATACTGACATCTATGTCTCTCGAAATTATGGCAAGTTTTAAATTTTTTGTCTATGAACTGTTACACTAGAGGATATTCCATGGTATTCAGGTGCAGAATATCTGCACACAGCCCTTGGGTTTTTAAGCACCAATCACTTTGTGTAAATCATATGAATACCAGGGCATTATCGACTGCAAAATAACATTTCATGCCTAGTTAAAAATAATTTCATCAATAAATATTTTTAAAAATATTTTTTAAGAACATAGATTATTGATATGAAAATGTTTTGTCATGAGAAATATATTAATCAGTAACAAATCATGAATATCGAAAATTCATGTTAAGGCATGCAGACGAATCGTTCTGCTAAATATATATATAAATCTGATTCAAATATTTTTATGATGTTTAGCAACAAACCAGATTCTACTGATAACAAAAAATTATATCACTACAATATAATAATTATTACCGTGAGGTTGAATTCACTGTCATTTATTCATCATCCACACATGAACTCATGTCAGAAAAATAAAAACATATCTATGTACCTGAACCGAATTTTCAGGTATAGAGGTATGATTTTTTTCTCTCAGACAAGTGCCTGTAACCATCCACCAGAACTTGTGGTCATCTCATGTTCAGTACTTCAGTACTTTGTTTATTACTATATCAACAAGTGTAATGACAAAATAAAACCCAACTGTGTAATTGATTCTTTCAAGTTTGTTAACAATGCACATTAGGAAATGACATTTGCCCTTATTTTCTATTTCTTTTTTAAAAAGTTCTTATCTATCAAAATAAATCTAATACTAGATGGTGTATACCTTCTCTTATTGTTGGCACATATGGTGCCTTTCTGTACGCTGTTTCTGTGAATTTGTCAATAAAGTCCGGGGTTATGACATCCATCAACCTCAGAGATCCTGGAATATTTTCAATATATTTCCTGTTAAATTCATTGTTTAAAACTTTTGTTTCCATTAATACCATTCAATTTAAATTTTTCAAAAAGAAAATGCTCATATTAAATGTTGTTTTGAGAGCAACCATTATGGTTACACTGTAGCTATTTAAAACATATATTACAATTACAGACTGCCAAAAGAAATGTTTCAAAACACAATTTTTCTTTATATCAATTGAACACATTTAAATAATAGGCCAGATCAAAATATCATTTTATTTCAGGTTTTGCTATCTGACGTATCTGTACACATTTTTTTGTTGTTGTTATAAATTGTTTCTGATACATTTTGTACTTAATGGACACTTTTCTGTGCTAACTGTCATCAGCACTGACAGACACACACCCATTTTGTCATGGGAAGTTCCTATTGTAGCTTGTTCAATGTAAGATCTATATTTTATGAACACCTTGTAACTTAGTGTAGTTATGACAAATTTTTGAATATGTATGCAAACCTTTCAATTTACACTTTTATTTCACCCAAATAAGACCCTTATTGCCCCGGCATCTTTGAAAAAAAAATTGCCCCTTCTCCTTTGAAAAAACATTACCACAAAAGCCCTTTACACAAGTGTAAGAAAACCTATTGACCCACCAAAAAGGATCAAGTAAAAAATATAAAATAACACAAACAACAAAAATAAAATACTATGTAACAAGTGTAACATCTACATTCATAACACAAATGACTTAAAAGGAATAGCTATAAGAACATTTTTACAACTAAAGTAATGATTAAAATAAATTGAACAGAGACAATCATCATTAAATTATAAAAGCCATATAAATATTAATTTTACCATTTCTGTTGAAAAGGAAACAACTCAAAGATATTTCCATGAACCAGTGATATAAACAGCAAAAATAGTTCTATAAAATTAATTATGATTTAACCACTAAAAAATAGTTCTCTAAAATTATAAACATTTATTTCCCATGCCTGAGGGAGATATGATTTGTTCAACCAAGAATATTCATGTTTCACGAGGGCTCTGCCCAAGGGAAATATGATTTTTCAAGGGTGAACAAATCTTCATCTCTTCCGAGGCAAAGGGAAATGAATGTTTTATTCCACTGTTTATGCTTTGTTTACTATCAATACATTAATTATTATTTTGCCTAATTTTTTTTTCTTATCCTATTTTTATAAGTTAAACTTAACATGACATACAAATTGATAAACAGTACGGATCAAAAGTTCATTATTAGTCTTCGTGTCTTATCGTCTGAAATAAACTTGAACATGACATTGATTTTTGCTATCACTATTTTAAGAAGAATAAGAAGTTCAAAACGTTATGTACATTAACCGTGCTTAACGTCGTACTATGTAATCCCAACATTTCAGAGGTGAATATGATCCTGAGAAGGGAATATGAAGATTTGTTCAATGACACGTGGGATAGTCTCAACCAATCAAATATTGATTAAACTATCAATATGTATAAACAGTGGAATAATATATAATGTTATATCTATTTTCAAATTACAATAAAAAATTTAAATACCACTTACATTCAGCATATTAAAGAACACCAATTCTTTTTAAATTAAAGAAAAGTTGTATTTTTGACCCTTTGGACCTAAATGAGGACCAATTTTAAGACAGGACTAAAATTGATTTTTTTTTTTACATGAGACCAAATGACAAAGAAATATTCATAATTGGTTTCTGTTCAAAGGGAAATAACTCAAATTCATATATATGTAATAAAAATAAATTTGCTACCGAAAGGTGTAAAACTGAAAAACAAGAACACCTAAAATTGTGAAAATTGAACTTGACCTTCATTCACTCACACGAAACAACAGATGTAAATTTGAAAAGATTTCTGAAATGCTTTTTCATGTTAATGAATGAAAACTGATTGGCAGCCACTGGCCAGCCTTCCCTCCTGCCGTACATCCAAAAACAAAAAAACTGATTTTTCTATTGAAAATCCAGTAAAAAAGGAATATAACTTCATCTTTCCATATTTATAAATAGCTCATTTACCTTTACATATCACCTGCTGCCTACTATTCCTACTCTTTGGAAGATAAACCACCAACAAATTTGGATCTTCATCTTCCACCCAAGTCTGCACCTTTAAAAATATTTCAAAACATTTTTTAAAAGGGCATTAAATTCAGAAGTAAAATTAAAATATATTTCTAGTTTGTTTAAAACAGTAACATGATTAATAAAACCACAATTTCAAAACCATTAATCTATGAATGTGTACACGTGTAGCTGATACTTGCAATCTTCCATTACTTAAATTATTACTGTATATTTCATTGAACATGGACTATTTGAATCGAAATAAAAGTATAAAATATAAAGAACCATAGTTTTTAACATCAATGTGTATAATAACAAGTTTGGGAATTATATACAATAATGTTTCAATAAATTAAAAAGAATGAAATGTAATGAAAGCAATCGCTGGTTTACAGTTACAAAATACTGCTGTCATTAGGTAACTAGACTAACTTTTGATGCTTATCTACCTTATAAGTTACTATAAATATCAAAAGTGTGTCATAAGGAAGGGATCCTTTAAAATAATTATGAACTATACTCTGTATTGACCTATAGCTGCTAATTTTTGTGTCATTTTGGTCTCTAGTGGAGAGTTGTCTTATCGGCAATCAAACCATATTTTCTTTTTTATACGTATACATTTGGTATTTAAATTTCATTACTCAACATAAACATACGTACCAAACTATCTATTTTTGACCATTTATTCTTGGACATTCCGATACTGAAAAATAATATATATATATATATATTTTTTTCAAACATAATCCACAACTGCAAAATGATTATAATTTATGGTTTCTTGTATATTTAATAATGTCAAAGTACCATTATTGGAGTTTTAGCAATCCTCCATTGTAACTTCAGTGAAATATATATATATATTGATGTGAAAGATAAAGTGTGGGTATAGATATATAATTGAGTGTGGTTATACATATACACAGTGTGTTGATATTGTAATGAATGTGATGATAGATATATAGAGTGTAGTGATAGATATATAGAGTGTAATGATAGATATATATAGAGTGTGGTGATAGATATATAGATTGTGGTGATAGATATATAGAGTATGGTGATAGATATATAGAGTGTGATGATAGATATATAGTGTGAGGTGATAAATATATAGAGTGTGGTGATACATATATAGAGTATGGTGATAGATATATAGAGTGGTGATAGATATATAAAGTGTGGAGATAGACATAGAGTGTAGTGATAGATATATAGTGTGGTAATAGATATACAGAGTGTGGTGATATATATATGGAGTGAGGTGATAGATATATAAAGTATGGTGATAGATATATAATGAGTGTGGTGATATATGTATATAGATTGTGGTGATAGATATATAGTGTGTGGTGATAGATATAAAGAGTGTGGTGATAGATATAAAGAGTGTGGTGATAGATATATAGAGTATAGTGATAGATATATAGAGTAGTGTGATAGATATATAGAGTATGGTGATAGATATATAGAGTGAGGTGATAGACATATAGAGTATGGTGATAGATATATAATGAGTGTGGTGATATATATATATAGATTGTGGTGATAGATATATAGAGTGTGGTGATAGATATAAAGAGTGTGGTGATAGATATAAAGAGTGTGGTGATAGATATAGAGTGTAATGATAGATATATAGAGTGTACTGATAGATAAATAAAGTGAGGTGATAGATATATAGAGTATGGTGATAGATTTATAGAATGTGGTGATATATATATAGAGTGTGGTGATATATATATAGAGTGTGGTAATAGATATATAGTATGTGGTGATAGATATATGAATAGTGGTGATACATATATAGAGTCTGGTGATAGGTGTATACAAAATGGTGATATGTGAATAGAGTATGGTGATTGATATATAGATAGTGGTGATACATATATAGTGTGTGGTGACATATATATAGAGTGTTATAATATATGTTTAGAGTGAAGTAATAAATATATAATGAGAATTTTAATATATATAGGTTATATATGTATAAAGAATGGTGATAGATGTATAGATAGTGGTGATAAATGTATAGTGCACTGAAATATATGTAAATAGATTGTGGTAAAAGATATATGTATATAGAGTGTGGTGTAAGATTTATATATGTAGATAGATATATAGAGTGTGGTGATATATATATATTGAGAGTTTGGTGTTAGATATATACATAGGGGTGATAAGTATTTCTTGCACTTTGGGTAAATTTTTATGTTGTGATTGGTTTAAGGCCATCACAAGTATTCATAGGGGGTAAGTAAATTTAATAGTGGGTTCATGATGTCACGTCTACTGTTAATGGTGACGTAATCTATTGATTTTATTGTATTTCATTGTTTATTTTTTTACAAAAAGCTGCTGAAAAAATCACGTTTGCACTAAATTTGTTAAACGGTTCACCACTGACCCCCACCATAGAGGGTGAATTAAAAACATGATAAGGGATTTGACCTGCAGCATTACTACTAACCCATAGGAGGTCAGTAGCGAACCATACAACTCATAACAGTGTACTGATAGATATATAGTGTGGTGATAGATATATACGTATTATAGTGTGTAGAAAGATATGCAGAGTGTGGTTATATATGTATAGAGTGTGGTGATATATGTGTAGAGTGTAGCGATAGATATATAATATGGTCATAGATCTAAATACACCTTATCGCTATTAGTCCGCCATAAGGCATTACTGGACATCACAAAAGGTTCCCGTAAAATTTTGACGTAATAATAGAAAATTTATATTAAGGACAAAACAAGCAATGATTTTTTTTTTTTTATTCAGGAAAACATTTATTGTTATATAATATTATTATTTTATTCTCCCGGGAGCTTTTTTTTTCTTCCCCGGGCGCTTTTTCTTTTCCCCGGGCGCTTTTTCTTTTTCCGGGCGCTTTTTAGTAGGACCGTGACGAAGACAGTCAAACGCTTTGTGTATTCAGCTTCAATGATTTTTTTTTCTTATATCTTGATTCGTATATTCAATGTGGATTTTATGAGATCTGAAGAATGGTTAACTACAGCAAGGATTTGTATACACTATACAAATCCTTGACTACACACAGTTGCCTTTTCTTTGGGCCGTTTTGAGTATAAGCTTACATTATTTACTAAGTTTTCGGTACTTAGCTTTACCGTAATTATTGTACTTTAAGTTCAAAACACCATTGAAAAGTATAAAACTATGATCCCACAACTACTGGCTTGCTAGTTACGAGCAAAAATGTACTTTAATATACCATCATATTGAGATCCTTGCGTATCTCTTCGTAAATTGTAAGGAACTATTTAATAACTTTTGAAACGGAACTGTGTGAGCAAAAATTCAAGTGGAGACAACTAGGTTCACTACCGCCAAACACAAAAATGTTACATGAAGTTCTGTTCGCTCTTTCTGGCCACTCTGGTGGTGTATTTATTGATAAAGGCGACGGGATACAAGTATTAATTAGTTAAAAGCATTTGTGATTATTATTATCACGATAATCAAAACCCGATAATGTCACTTTTTAAGTTATCTACACCACAGGAATCGGAAATTCTATCAATAAAATTCTGTAAATAATAAAGTCTACGAGAAGCTCTATTGATAGTCGACTTTATTATTTACAGAATTTTATTGATAGAATTTCCGATTCCTGTGTCTACACGTACCCACATTCTTATTTTTTTGTCAATTTTGTCATTTTTTATATTTTGGTCCTATAAACGTATTTACACTTTTGGTATTTAGCTATATTTTGCCTCCGAATGACCTTAGATCTACTCCGAATCACCTTTAGACGTCAGGCAACAATCACTTTTTAATTGTGACGTCAAATGTTTTGAATTATGATGTCAAAGTTTACGGGAACCTGTGTGATTTTACGTAATGGCGGACAAATTTGCATACAAGTGTAAATACGTCTATTTTCACTATTATTAATTGTTGTACAACCAGACCCTCGATATAGCTACGTGTGATCAATAAACAGTACGTCTTCATAGGAGTTGTAACCCATTTAAGGAATAACTGTACTGTAGTTGAAGAGTTGCCACCGTCAATTGGCGATGTGACGGTCGCAAATGCAGTTTTACTGGCAACGCGTAGCGGAGACATTTAAACGGATATTTGCGACCGTCAAATCAAAATTGACGGTGGCAACTCTTCAACTACAGTACTGTTATTCCGATTCTAATGCATTACAAAAGGAAATAATACGTTAAAACTTAAAGCTTGAAAAAATGTATAAATTTGAAATTTAATAGAATTCCACGAAACTTCATGAATGATTTTGGCGCAAAGACGTCATGGCTAAACATGACATCATACAAATGAAAACTTACAAGCTGAAGGTAATTTTGTTACTACTACGATTCAAATTTGGATAATATGACATCAAAACGGCGATTTTGAGGTAGGTGTTGTGTTATTTTCGATAATATTGCAGTAACCGAACATTTCTTAATCCACGAATTCAAAATGGCAGGTCCCTCCTTAGTTACGACTGGTCAACTGTGGATTTGACGGTAACTTTTAGCCAATGAAAAAAATTGTTACATAAAAATTGCATTAGAATTATGCATTTAAGGCAGTTCGATCAGTTTTTCGTAAATTGTTTTGTTATAAATTAGGCTGTTAGTTTTCTCAATTGAATTATTTCATATTTTTGGAAGCAGGACAAATCGCCCCACTTTTTTACCAACTCGCCCCACTTTGAAAAATCGCCCCAAACTGGTTAACCAACTCGCCCCACTTTTAAAAAAATCGCCGAACTTGTGAAAAGGGTTAAATCCCGTTAATTTTTCTCCTGCCAACTCGTCCCACTTAATGAAATAATGTAAACCTAGATGAATATATATTTTCAGGTCTGCCAACTCGCCCCACTTAACCAAAAAAATCTTATACACAGAATACAAAAAAACGAAAATTTACTAAATCATTATTATTGACATTGAGTTGGCATGACTCAACTTGATTCATCAGGTATTTTCTATTTTTCATAAGTGGGTCTAGTTGGCATTACTCAATTCATCAGGATTTTTCTATTTTTCACTGGTTGGGCTAGTAGTACCGGTAGTTGGCATTCACGTCACAGAAAATACTGTTACTCGCTTCTTTATGCTTTATTTCAACAAAAAGAAAAGAACTACAAAATAGATATAAGAAGATGTGGTATGAGTGCCAATGAGACAACTCTCCATCCAAGTCACAATTTGTAAAAGAAAAACCATTATGTATAGGTCAAAGTACTGTCTTCAACACGGAGCCTAGCTTGGCTCACATCGAACAGTAAGATATAAAGGGCCCCAAAAATGACTAGTGTAAAACCATTCAAACGGGAAAAACATGTGTATCTTAGGTTTTAATAGGTATTGATTTTATTTATAAGAGGGGCAGGAACATAGATATACAACGGGATTGCATCTTTTGTCATAAGTGGGGCGAGTTGGCATTACTAAATTCATCAGGATTTATCTATTTTATACAAGTGGGGCGAGTTGGCAGACCTTATATCAGAGGGATTTTTTTCCCTTTTCATAAATGGAGCAATATATCCAACCTATTTTCAATGGGATTTTATCCTTTTCATAAGTGGGGCGAGTTGGTAAACAAAAGTGGGGCAATTTTTAAGAAAGTGGGGCGAGTTGGTGAAAAAGTGGGGCGATTTGCCAGTGGGGCGATTTGTCATGGATTCATATTTTTCATGTTGGGGCCTTTTATCAGTTTATAGCCGACTATACTGTATTGTTTTTTCTCATTGTTGAAGGCTGTACAGTTGCCTATAATTGCTTACATCCACTTTCATTTGAACTTTGGTGGATAGTTGTCTCATTGTTAATCATACCACATCTCATTATTATTATAATAATCCCTATTTGGAATTCTGTGTCCGGATCAATTTTCTGATTTGGCTGCCCTCAGATGCCCTTCTGCCAAGTCAGAAAATGCTTTTGGAAAAATTGAGTTAACTAAAATAGATACATGTACATGTGGAACTGTAAACTAGAAAATTGAAACTTGGTCCTTGGAGCACCTATTTTTTGTTGTTAGGCTCAACAGGTTGGGGAAGATCCTCTTAAATGGGTACCATCCTGATTTATGGGTATTATCCCCAAAATCTGGTATCAATTACAGCAGAGAAATATTATATGTCTCTGATTACAGTGATAAAAAATCAAATTTTGTATTTCATCATGATAGCTGTCATGGCGTAAATATTTATATAAATCATAAATGACAACATTTTTCCCTATAAGACCATAGTTCAAATGAGAACTGAATACAAAGATAATGGCCTCCAAAAATCCTAGATTTTGAAGGCTGTTAACTTTTATCCTGATGATATTTCAGTCATGGAGTCTTTAGCCTACTTAAGGCAAAATGTTTACCTGAATGTTTGCGTCATGACAGAAAATACCTGTAAATCCAAAGTTTATATTTTTATCACTTAAATTCATACCCGGTTTGGGGTATAATACCCATAAATGAGGATAGTACCCATTTATGAGGATCTCCCCAACCTGCTGAATTTGGATACAAAGATTTCTGGAGAACTCCCAAAAACTCAATATGAACCTGAGTACCGATAGATATTAACTCGATTTTGTATAGTGTAATACTGCTTTTATTGATAAGTTTGACTATAAATTTGAGATATTTGTCATTTTTACTTAATAAAAGTACAATTTAACTTCAGGAATTCTATTTGTGTGTCTTCTTATATCTATCTACTTGTATGTAAGTTCCTTGTACAACAATATGGAGGAGGTAATTATTCAAAAGGTAGATAATTATTATTTAAACAATGAAGGTATTTATTTTTATTAGGAAAATTTAATTTTAACTACAACGGTACCCTGCACAAGGCACGTACATACCTTATGTGATTCAAGTTTGAATAATTAAGTACACTCGAGTCCAGAAGGGAACTTGTATTAAAGACACACAAAACGAATTCATGATGTTAAATTGTACTTTTATGGAGTAAAAGTGACATATATCTCAAAATTATAGACTTATTTATAAAAGCAGTATAACTCCATATACAGTAAAGTCTTTGTACCAGCTCAGCATATGGAAATTGTTGAATTAAAATCTTTGTATAATAATACTGGTAGGTGTTTTTGATGAAAAGATGCTTTGCCTGGCCTTAAATTTTAGTTGGCAGTTTAATTGGCATCTTAAAATTTCATTTATAAGTTGATAGTGAGCCCAGGATACATGTATCTTATACATATTTCCATGGACTTTTAGAGTTATTTCATTGCTCAGTGTTAAACTTTGTCATGATCAGGACATAGGGCTAATAAGAAATAGATTTAAAGTTAACAAGATATATATCTACTCTTCATTATCTTATTTGCATGCACAAAACAAGTAACAAACTATTGAGCTTCTGTGTTCTCTTTTATTACAAAGCAGGTGAAACATGTCTTTGTTCTAACTGATGTATTTACATTATTGTAGGTGTTGAGTGATGTTCCTTTTATATCACCATCAGAGGTGGATCAACTGAACAAACTATGTAAACTTGGTACATTCTACAGGGATTTTAATAACTTCATTAGACAATATGGAGGACATCTTAGTCTACAACCAAATGGTAAGTTGCATTTGACTGGAAGACATTTAAATTTGTTATCCTGTTAAAATGCGATTTTGATTGGTTATTACTAGGGAAACATTTTACTCTTTCCCATGGCTTCTAGTATATTATGGTTCATGGTGACGCTGTATCATTTGTGTGCTTTATTAAATATGGATGCTTGTTCTGTACATGACGTCTTAGTTTATTACTTTTAATTGAGAATTTTAAAGACACAAATAACAGAATTTTGACTATGATAAATATATTAATACATAGCTGAGATGCTGATAGAGCAATTTGCTACCCCTCCTTTGCTTTGCCTCGGTTGACAATGTTTTCTCAGGTTAACAATCTGTTCTATCAGCATTTCAGCGATGTTTTGATAAATTTATTTCCATCCCTGTATTGCAGGGAAGGGGAGGCATTCAATTTTACAATGCAACTAAGTAATAGGGTTTAAAATGGTATTTTATAATTGTAACAAATATAGTTTCTTTTCAGACAAAAGAAAGTCAGAGATTCATGGTTTGTACTTGAAGTCTTTCTGTCATGGCCTAGATAAAGTTTTAGAGGACTACAGAGCATCCTTACAGAGACTTGAGATGGAAATACTAGCAGACCCAGACCTCACAATATCCCACCTTTACAGAACATTATTTCAAGTGTGTATTAAACATCTTATGATGATGTTGTGTCAATTTTGATTGGAATGTTGTTGCATTGACATAAACCCCACATCTCTGTTTATTCATATTAAATACTCTTCAAAACAACTAGACTAGTACACATATTAATTCCTCTGGGAAAGGAGACAAAATTAATAAACAGTTCTTCTGATTGAGACAGTATCAGAACTTTAAAAAAAAATTGCTCACATTATTTATTGGATAAAAAAATCCCATAAAAATGCTGTGAATCAGTTTGTTTGCTATATGAAACAGATTTCACTCAAAATTCAGATTTGTAAATGTATAGTGTGTTTAGACTAGTCAAATGGTTTGGCTTCGAAGAATTAAATTAAACTTGACAATCCAGTATACTATAGATTGTTAGAATATTTTAGTAAGTATTACAGTCAGGAGTACTACTTGTACAAGTACTCTTTATTTACTTGAAGAAGTAAATTAATAATAATATACTTATATAATTAAATTATAATGTTTGAATAATCTCCCCTTAATTTTCTCCAAAATTTACTTGTATAAGTAATTTTTTTTTACAATCCTGAATAATTCTCAGGTTAGCTCATAATTTTTTATTAGAGTTCAATGTTTCATCTCATTAATTCAACAAAGAAACTAAATGCGCAAAGATATTAAGTATTTGGGCAAGGCCTTCAAAAATTGCCCCTTGGGGCTTGTAAATGAGCAGTGTTCTGAAGATATCAGACAAATGAGATTTTCATTGTCCATGAAATTACACTTAAATGATAAGAAGACATCTGCAAAGGATAGACAATTAAAAATTTTATTAGAGCAAAGAAGTCCTAAGAAATTCAAGAAAAGAAGATAGGATGACTTTTTACTTGTATAAGTAAAAAATCTGAATGTCTAAGGGACATAACTAAGCCAAAAAAAAAATGTACCTGTACAAGTAAATAAAATACACTTGTATAAGTATCCTACAAATTTACTTATATAAGTATATTACAATTTACTTCTTCAAGTAAGTAAAAATTACTTTTACAAGTAGTACTCCTGACTGTATTAGTTTGAAATTTATATTTGACATAGTTGGTCCTTGACCTTTCCTAATGACAAATAGACCAGTTTTATGAGTTTAGTAAATTTTACGTTGTTTCTGCTTTCAGTATTTTTTGCTGTTTCCAGCTTTATCTGCAATGGTAGAACAGATCAAATCACACAAGGTATTTTTTTAATGGTCACTTTACAGTACCGGTATTCAACACAATATCTATAATATTCTAGACAGTTCTGGTCAGTGATAAAATGTCCAATATTTTGGTAATTCCTATAAAATCCTTGTTATGTATTAGTTCGGTTTGTCAGTTTCAAGAGAAAACAGTTTCTGCCTGCCTTTCTGCAGTTTTCCATAAAATTGATATTATATGTTCAATAATTACCATATCATGACCAGTTTTGCATTGCTATTTCTACAAACTGTATGAAAGTTATGTTATAAAATTAGTGTAAAGGATTAAAATGGTATCAATTGCATGAAATCATTAATATTGTATATATGAATCTTGAACAAGGGAATGATATTGGATCATAATGTTTTCTTTGTGTATTTTCAGGCACATGGCTGTTATATATTAGATATTGTACACAAACACTCTAACTGTGGACAGCCTAGTGTTAAGGAAGCAATGAATAAGTGAGTACATTTTATTGTTCATGAAAAATCGGGTACAATAACTCATCAATTTGTCAAAATAAGCTCATAAACATCGCTGAGGTATTATTGACTTGCAAGTCAATAATTCAATCTCATGTGAATCCGTATTCTTTAAAAAATTCTTTATTCTGAGAGTGATGTTGGAAAAAGCCATATCATATACACTTTATTATATACCTAAAAGTGATGTTTTTTCGTGACATGAGCTAAAAATATAAGGGGTTTGTTAAAGTCTTTGTAACTATGACTGATTTCGTCTCGGATTGCTGACACAGAACAATTGTCATTATTGTTTTACACAAACAGTTTACTTGTAAATGTATTTACTACTAAGTATATAATAAATCATTATACAAGGAGCAAAATTTCACATTTTGGAAAGACATACCTCCTAACAGAATTTTTGATTGATGACAACATTTTCTTTGTACTTATCCTTCTGAACATGCATGAAATATTTGCCACTGGGAGTTAAGCAACCAACAAGCATCAATCAATCTTTGTACTTTACAGAATTCTACATGTATGTCATGACGTGTTGTACAAACAGTTATGTTCATGGTTGTTACATGGGTCTTTGTTTGATCCTTACAAAGAATTCTTCATACAACATTCTACAGGACAGACAACAGGTGTCAGCTCTGAGACACAGGAAGAGGAAGATTATTTAGGAATTATGGGTGTGACGGGAAGGCAGCTGCAGGTAAGGAATTATTGATTGATTGATGATTGCTTTACACAGCATCAGTGCAAAAAGGCTATATTGCAGCGAAGGTAAGGAGTTAAAACTAAAAGGTATGGGGCATAATCTTATTAGAAAGATACTAAGCAATAATACTAAGCAATAATTGAAGAAATATTGGAATAACATCAGCATTTGGTATATCATAGAAGAGTCTTCAACAGTGTAGTATGTTATGGTAGATATCACATACTTAGTATATACTGGATAATATACTATACGTTCTCATGTTTTATTTTCAGAGAGCAATACCCATGACAGTACCTTGTACATACTTAAAATGGCTGCAAACCTGAATAGTGTTCTCCTCAGTATTTTCATATAGCCCCATTGTATTTGAAATAGTACTGTTTCCCTAGAATTATAGCACAACATTTACTAAACATTCTGTTATAAAATCTTTTTAGATAGCACCATGGTACCATGATGCTTTAAGGCTCTTGGGAGAACAGTGCTGATACTTGACATATGCTGCATGTTCTTCTATATTTTGTAGAAAGCATTGTCTATGACCTTACCAGATACTGGTGGTGGCAGTCATCAGACTTTCTCTATACAAGCAGACTTACTTCCTGTTTATATTCCAATACGCGTGGCGAACAAGATTCTTTTTGTTGGAGAATCAATACAGATGTTTGAGACAGATAAGAAACCAGCTACACATAAAAAAGGTAAGTTATCTTTAAAATTGGTAAGTTTTTAGATGCAAATTTTTTTTAAGCAAACATTTTTGGCTCGCCTTGACTATGGCCTGCTGTTTGCAGCGGCAGGGTTGGCTTCAACAGTTTGTAAGTTTGTGATAAAGTTAGTTTATGGGGATCAACTAATGCTAACTCAATGATATTTGGTATACAGTTGAAGTAGCATTTGTACATGTCAATTCCAAGGGGGGATAGGGAGATTTATAGGGTATACATCATTGAGACAGCAACACAATGCCACTAGAAACCAAAAACATGTATTGGTCAATAGGCTGTCTTCATTTTATAAACAAGGTCTATAGAATATTGTCAGCAATTAGATTAGCATCAAGATAAAAATAACTTCTTTTATGAAAAAAAATATGCCAAAGGTTTTGAAATATTCAGTCTCCTAGAAAATTAAAGTAAAATGAAAAAAAAATATTTGGTTATGCTTTCTCAGAGAAATTGTAAACTGTGCTTTTCATTGTACAAAAAAAGAAATCATCACTATAAAATTATTATTTCCTCAGTGAAAACTGAAAGCCTTGGGTGTTTGTATTATAGATGAGTCTTTGAAGGATTTAAACATAAAAGGATATTGTAAGCTTATTACACTGTTCCTTTTAAATTTTATCAAATTATGTGTATGATTTAAACAAGATGCAATTCTGTTTGAAGGAGTCAACTAATGCAAATTATTATTCATTTTCTGCATCTAAATATTTGCATATACTACACTAAACCCTTACAGCTTTATTTGAATGATGAATGTAAGATGAAGAGATATTCATAGTCAAGGATCAAATATGAAGAATATGAATTATTTATGTTTAAAAATAGAATAAAAATTGAATTAGTTCTAGCTTTATAAGGTTGTTTTGTTTCTAGGTAGTATCCTGAAAAATCATGAATCAGAATTTGCCAAGGATCTATATAATTTATCTCTAGAACCAGATTTTAATAACATGTCATTTGAAGCACTGATTGATAAAATCAGGACACATGTTGCTGAGGTATATATAAATATCCTTTTAAAATTATATTGTTATTAAATTTGGATCTGTTCCTGCTTGGATGTTAAACTTTTAGTTTATCTGTTCTATCTTTTTGTATGCAGGTAATCCATTTTAAATTCTTACATTGTATAGTTTTATGACAAAGTTGTTTAAATATTAGAATGTAGTGATGTTTAAAGTTTGAATTGGATGAGTGAAGTGTTAGGATGTATTTAATTTATTAGCCTTTTATACATACTTTTTAGAGATGTTATTTGTTTTATCATGGATATCAAACTGTAACTTGCACTATCTGTAAATTTTAAAATATTTTTCTCTTATCTAGCATTTGTGGATGTTAGTAGTGGAAGATTCAGATCTAGTGCCACATTTAAAGATCATAAAAGATTTTTATCTATTAGGAAGAGGGGAGCTGTTTCTCACATTTATAGATCATGCACAGAATTTATTAAGAGGACCACCTATAGGCACCACAGAACATGGTAAATACAAAAAAAACTCAATTGTAAAACCAGAAACACAAGTAAATCTAACTTGATCTATTGTCCAATAATTTAAAATTCTGTAAAAACTTAACAAAATTTTCATTACTAGACATATTCAATATGTACAGGTTTCAATGTATAAGAATCACCACTGAAAACATATGATTAATAAGTAATATAGTTTATGAGAACTTATTTACTGTGCACACATTCAATTATTACCTATTGACTATGATAGCCCTGCACCGAGAGAAAAAATATGGCGATTTTCACAGTTTAATGGCTTAAATAATTTAGTTAAATGTAACCACTTATGTTTTGAGCTGTTTGAATATCTTGTGTAATACATTTATATGATGATCTGTTACAGATATCAATACAGCATTTCAGCAAGCTGCAAGAAATGTTTTGTTTGATAATGAGAATTTATTACAGAATTTTCATCTCACAGTAGCAGCACCAATCACAAACAGTAAGTTAATTCAAAATGCAATCCCTTGCAAATGTGAAAACCCTGCAGTCCTATTTCTATCTTGATATAATAAAATCTGTCCAATGACATGGATCTAACATACATAATTCAATTGCACACCAAGAGAATAATATGGTATACAAATAAAAGAACAACACATAAATGGAATCAATCAAAATCCTTATGGGACTGGCTTTATAGTTATAAATTTTCCAGACATTATCACTACTTTTAAGATAAAAAAACCCAGTGCATTGAGCAAAACATTCTATACATTCTATCCTTAAACATTTCAAGAACTTTATCAAATGATATATACACTCAGATATTCAAGTTTCAAAATGATATGTATGTGCATAACCATACTTGTCAACAAAATTACACACTTCATTTTTTTTTGTGGATACCAATTTTCATACATGGATTGGTTATTCGTAGATATTTGATTTCGTTGATTTGCCAAACTGCAAAAAATATAGAAAATGTATACTTTGTTGAACATTTAAATTCATTGTTCACCTTTACCTACAAAATCCACAAAAATTGATATCCTACAAATAATACTGAATCCACAGTCATACCGAGAAATCAAGTTGTTGTTACACAAGTCAAATGAATAAATAGTTAAAAACAAATATACAATACATAAAAATTGAGCATCATAAAATTTACATATTTACATCTTAGACATGAAAGCAGGTACTAGCTGTTTTTATAACATTTAGCTTACAATTAAAATGCAGAAAATCACAAAAGTCAAATCCACAGTGGAAAACCAGCTGAAATCTGTTTGTTTTTTTTCAGAATCTACAACAGATTCCACCAGTAGTAGCAGTAGTCAGCAGTCGGTGGAATCGGGGTGGAATTCTTTAAGTCTGACATACACAGTGGATTGGCCATTACATATACTGTTTACACCATCAGTGTTAGAAAAGTAAGTATATTATGAAGGTATACCCAACACACTAAACCAATATATTCATTTGTCCTCATTATACCAAGTGTATTAAGTATGTCCAATTGAATTAATGTTAGATAAATTGGTACACAACAGTGAAGAGCTTTAATGAAGGGTGCAATTATAATTATTGTAAATCAATTGTTTTGGTACTGAGAAAATTCTTTGATGATTATTTCAAATTTATGCATAAATTATTATTTCTAAAAGGTTTTAAAAATTTAATAAATGAGTTCAGTGTGCCAGGAAGTTAATGACAACATTACATTCACTGAATCACAAATTCCCTGAGTCCCATTAAGTGTAAATCTGGAATTCTCTCAAAAATATAAGCCCAATCATGATGTCTGAGAGGGTCTTTCTGTCCCTCTATACTAGATTTAAATAATTGCCAGTGTAGATCATTGATCTTTCAGTACATGTTGTAACAAAATTAGTTATCTCATGAATCAAAAGAACAGTTGAAATAAATTTGCTTTGAATTTGAAAAAAATGTAAGTATGAGAAATGTTTGAGATAGTATGGATTTTGGTATTTTATAAATCCAATAATAATGTATTACAGATATAACAGAGTGTTTAGGTTTCTCCTACTGGTTAAAAGAGCCCAAATAGACATACAACAGTGCTGGGTATTACAGATGCAGTATAAACAAAAAGCTGTTAGTCGTGAAGAAATGACTAAATGGCAGCTACGAACACATATGGCTTTCCTGGTGGATAATTTACAGTATTACTTGCAGGTAAAAATATATAAAATGCAGTCAGTCTGTTGAAAAGAGTCACTAAAATTGAATGGATATAGCACATGTAATGCTGTTAAATTGTACAATTAGGGATTCCTTTGTACATTTATAACATTAATTATAATTCACATGAAGTGATGATTGCATGGTCGGGTAAATAGGGGGTCCTGAAAATGCAATGCTTGTTTTTGTTAAGGAAGTTCGCTACTCAGTTTCAAAATAACAAGCTTTTCATAACACTAGTATATATTGATAGGGGATTAATAAAGGAACCAAAAGAGCGAAAAAAAAATATAGGTCCGTGTGCTTGTTTTTGGAGATATTAGCCATTGAAATTTTGGCGGGAAAATGTTCTCTCTTGATTTTTCATAGCTTTATCATAGACAATTTTAAGACTTTTACAGATGGCTTATAATTATACATGTAAAAGATTTATAAAAAGAAAAAAGAGGGTTATTGGGCAAATTTTTTCAAAGCATTCAAGTGGATAAAACCAGAGGATTCAGAAAATCTGACAAAAATTCCAAAACATGACAAGCGAACATCCTTAAACATGTAAACCAAAATAGAATAATTACATTGTACTTAGCAGGGTGTTGTTGTCTTTAATGTTGTTTTACTTATAACATTAAGAAGAATACTGAATTGATATAACCAGATGTGACATTCTAGACTGTATACAAATATTTTTAATTAAAATATCATCAAGGTAAAATTAGGTTATTTATTATTGAGCTGCTCACATATAAAATTGTCGGGTAAACATGATGTCAGAAACCAATATACCAGCAAAGCAATGAGATATTGACTTTTTGTACTAGGAAATGGTAGGTGCATGAGGTGAAAAATAGTTTTTGCCCATTTTTCATGTAGCGGTTTTAGTTATTTTACCTTTTTTCTTGTATATTGCTGGTAGTCCTTGATATTGTCAGGTTGTTATGGTTACTCATTCTTCCCAGTGTATGAGATATTACTGTTTTAACAGGTAGATGTAATAGAATCACAGTATGGTATACTGGTAGATAAGATTCAGTCTACAAGAGATTTTGAGGCAGTACGATTAGCACATGATCAGTTCCTATCAGCATTGTTAGCACAAAGTTTTGTACATATGAAATCAGTAAGTAAATAAGTGCTCTTCCAGAAAAAAAGTAATAGGAAGCAATGGGAAATCCAGCGTCTTTTCGTGAATATAACAATTTAAAAGTCGGTCTGTGCAGATTAAAAAAATAAAAGATAAATATCTTTAATAAAGTAGGTATCTTTTTACTTTTTTTACATTTTTAAGAAAAGGTCGTCTCGATTTTTGTACATGTAATTGTGGTTTTCTCGATCTATTCACATTAAATGTTTACATTGGAATAAGGTCCGTTTGAATTTGCTTAGTAACTTAATTTCAAAAGTGTTAATCTTTGCTGCATATCAATTGATTCCTTTGGAATTTTCTCTCTGATTTTCTCTGATCTAGCTGCATATGTATACGGCTAATTAGCATGTTCCAGAGAGGTATACAGCCAGTAGAAAACTATTTGTAATAATAATGTTTTTATTTCAATTGATTTCTATTTTTACTATTTACAGAACGTTTTCCTGTGAGTTTATAATTGATATTGTCCTTTCTAAAACTGGACAAACATTAAAAAGATCTAGTTTTCAGTGTTTACAGGGGAGGTACAGGTTTTTTTTGGGGTATTTTGGAAAACAGGACCCTGTGGAGTTTTGGGAATTTTTCACGTGATTTTCAATCAAATTGGAAAAACAACAAATATACCAGATGTGAGTTTTAGTGTGTATAATTCATTAGGGATGATATTTTTTTGTGAAAATAAAGTAAGACCCATTTCTTATGTTATAACAGGAGATCTTAACATCGTTCAAGACCGAGAGTTAAAATCATTCCTCAGTAAAGGACCTAAATATCGTCCCCCGTCAATTATTAATTGGAATGAGTGTCGTAATATCATCCACGACTCACTCCATACTTACTGTTTGAAATGGATAAAACGGGAAAAAGCTGACAAAAAATCTTTGGACTCTTTTTTTAATTCAGTAATGAACATAGTTGATATACGTATTCAACATTTTAAAGAACATTTTACTCTTAACAATAACCACAATAAACCTATTTCTCGTATCAAACATAAACTTAAAGAACTAGCCAAGGAATTTGTTTTTGTCCCGGCCGATAAAGCTGCTAATAATATTATTATTGTTTGACGTAAATTTTACATTGAGGTTCTGAAAAAAGAAATCACCAATTCACCAACATTCCAACTGACTCCATTTTCAGAAATGACATCTGTAACAAACATAAACTTTTAGCTACCGCTTTACAAGCAGAACCAAATACAATGAAAGTCCCAACTATGTATTGGCTTCCAAAGCTACACAAAACACCTTACAAATATAGATTCATTTCGTCTTCAAGTCATTGTTCCACTACTAAATTGTCTATTCTTCTTACCAGTACACTTGGTACAATCAAAAACCAGATAATAAATTATTCAAATAAGGCCTTCGAAAATAGTGGAATTAATTACTTTTGGAGTGTCAAGAACTCGTTGGAAGTACTTGATAAATTGCATGCATATATTGGTGATTTTGAATCTGTTCAAAGTTTTGATTTTTCTACCCTATATACCACATTGCCTCACATTCTCATTAAGAAAAAATTCACACACCTAATTAAATGGGCATTTAAAAAGTCAGAATGTGAATATATATGTTCAAACTCTTTTAGGTCATTTTTTAGTAGCAATAAACAAAAAAACTATGTCAATTGGACATGCTTTGATACTATATATGCCCTTGAATTTTTACTAGATAACATTTTTGTTCGCTTTGGAGATTCCGTATATCGTCAGGTTATCGGAATTCCAATGGGGACTAACTGTGCACCACTTATTGCGGACCTTTTTTTGTATTGCTATGAGTTACAATTTATGACAAAAATCAGCAAAGACCCATCGAAACAACATCTGATACACAAATTCAATAATACTTTTAGATATTTGGATGATATTTTGGCTCTCAATAATGACGACTTCAGTATGTATACTAAAGAAATTTATCCTGTTGAACTTACTTTAAATAAAGCTAATACTAACAATTACCACTGCCCTTTCCTCGATTTTGATATCTATATCATTAACGGAAAGCTTAATACTAAAATATATGATAAAAGAGATGATTTTTCATTTCCTATTGTAAATTATCCATTTTTAGATGGTGACGTTCCCTTGTCACCATCTTACGGTGTTTATATATCTCAACTTGTTCGATTCGCTTGTGTATGTAACAATGTTTTAGATTTTAACGAGAGAAATTTATGTATTACTGAAAAATTATTACACCAGGGTTTTTGATATCACAAACTAGTCAAAACATTTACTAAATTTTATCATCGGTATAAGGACATCATTCGTAAATATAGCTCAACATGCAGACTTCTTATACGTTCAGGTATTTCACATCCAATTTTTTATGGAAATATTCTTTATAAAGCACAAAAATGTCAGTATTCACCTCTGAAGCTAACAAAACCTTTAAATAGACTTATTAAGAAGGGATATAGTTACGATACTGTTGTCGGGTCATTAAAGATTGCATATTTTGGCGTTAATATTGATTCACTTATAGGGTCTTTGCATCGGAACTAAACACATTTATTTAAAAACCAGTTGTTGGCATGACACGGGTTATGTTCTTCTCATATATGTTATGATGGTATGATACTAAACCCCTAACGGGAAGGATTGTGCCTGATATTCATATGATGAAGACATAATCTTTCAATCAGTTTAATTGAAGTCTGGAGCTGGCATGTCAGTTAACTGCTAGTAGTCTGTTGTTATTTATGTATTATTGTCATTTTGTTTATTTTCTTTGGTTACATTTCTGACATCAGACTCGGACTTCTCTTGAATTGAATTTTAATGTGCGTATTGTTATGCGTTTACTTTTCTACATTGGCTAGAGGTATAGGGGGAGGGTTGAGATCTCATAAACATGTTTAACCCCGCCGCATTTTTGCGCCTGTCCCAAGTCTGGAGCCTCTAGCCTTTGTTAGTCTTGTATTATTTTTAATTTTAGTTTCTTGTGTACAATTTGGAGTTTAGTATGGCGTTCATTATCACTGAACTAGTATATATATTTGTTTAGGGGCCAGCTGAAGGACGCCTCCGGGTGCGGAAATTTCTCGCTGCATTGAAGACCTGTTGGTGACCTTCTGCTGTTGTCTGTTCTATGGTCGGGTTGTTGTCTCTTTGACACATTCCCTATTTCCATTCTCAATTTTATTAAGAAACTACATGATTTAAAATTTTATTTTCTGTCCTTTTTTTTTAATTTCACAACAAGGCCATCAAATTTATTTTAGTAACAAAATTATCGTACTTCTAAAACATGTTAAAGCACACATGTAATAAAAATTTACCGCCTTTTTTATCTTCAAAGACAGTAATAGTTGATAAAATAAATAATTCAGGAATAGAAATAAGATTTATTTTAACTGGCCAAGCATGTTAACACTTTTCTAAATTCACTAGCCCTTCTAGATTTTTAATGGCCCTTCAAAATTGAGAAGAAATTACCTCCTAGATCTGTAGTTATATGTGATAAAGAAAAGTGATGTCACATTTTATTGGATTTTGACATGAAAATTTGTGAACTAAAATTAATTTTGAGTTTCTGTATAAAATTTTCCTGTTTCTTCTTTCTTTTTCATATATCTTTTTGTGTTTATATTTTATAGCTGTAATTTGTCACCTGTCTAGATTTTTTTTGGATCTATTTATTGTATTTGATCGGCAAGCCCGGAATTAGTCTTATCTGCTCCCTGAATCTGCAATAATGTCATATTTCAGGTTTATTGTATCCATTTGACAAAGTTGCTTTTGTCAGTCAGATATGTTTTTACTCGGTTTTACACATTAATTGTTGCAAATTTTTAGCATAAAGCTAGCGGTTGAATAAAATGAACATCGCTGTCATGAATAATATAGGTGAAAATGAATTTTGAGATTGTTCGGGAATTTTTTCCTCCCGAAATTGGGAAAAATGTAGGGGTTTTGCCATTGGGAATAGGTCCCAATACCGGACCCTGTGGAATTCTAGAAAAATCCATAAGGTAATATTTTATCACTAGATTTCCCACTGGAAGGTTGGACACCACATATATTTTTCTTTGGATAAAAGGGATGGAAGCCAATACAATTTTGTTACTAATGAAAAGAAAAAATTATGGGCATTGGGGTATTAAAAGGTGTTGTCTAACCCATATATTTGTTCTTGGAATATTTATAATTAAGTTAATGTCTTTAGATTTGATAAACATTTGAAAGCACAATCTTTGAGTCAAATGAGGAAAAACATGGAAATTAAGTATATCTACTCCAGAAAAGAGATATAGTATAAAAGACAATCACAAATTAAATATAAAAAAAAATAAAAACATATAAATCATTATGATAGGAGTGCTTATAAGAATTTCTATCCAGTCTTGTTTTCTCGAATGATGTTCTTTTAATTTTAGTGTTACTCTCTATTTTCTTACTCTAATCAAGATAAAATATAAAATCAGTGAGAGCAACTATAAGTCTATTGACATACTTGTAATTGGTTTTTTTTTAACATTTTTAGATAAAATCTGGATTTTTCAGGTATCTCATTGTTTACATGAAATATTAGACCAGTGTGGGGCTTTTAGTAAGCTGTTGATGCATTGTGAATCTCCTATGGTACATAGAGAACTTAACCAGTTAGAAAGTATAGCTAAAGTAAGTTTTTTATCTATCAATTTATATTTCATTTTGTCTACTTTCCATCAAAGTTAGTGACAGCATTGATTTTTTAACGATTATGGAAATTCTAAATGCCACTAGATTGACAACAACACTTAAGTAATCTGCAAATTTAATAAGTCGACATGTTTCGCCGATTAGATCGGCGTCATCAGGACTATGGAAATTATAGATTAACTGATTAAATAACACTTTATAACAGGTGTATTTTCTATAAGAATGAAGAAGACATTTAATTCCATGACGATTTAAGACAAATCTGAAATTTTTTTATCATATTTTTTTACTGTCTATTTAGTTCAAGTCAAGCAAAATTTAACTCATCATAATACGACTCAAATGGAGTTTTCATGTATTTATTATTATAGTTTTTTGCTTTTGTCTATTTCAGAATTTCCAAGGCCAGTCAAACTTATTATTTAAGATATTATCAAGTGTCCGGAGTCACAATGCCAGTCCACATTTAGCACAGTTGTTACTAAGACTCGACTTCAACAGATACTTCAGTATAGCTGGGGGACAACTTGGAAGGTAAGTACCATTAACTTCTTTGAGGAAAAACCATGAAACCTTTTTATTTGCTGCTTTGGTTGACTGTTTCAAATCTAATGTTTTCTGGATGATTACTTCAGTTTTGCTTCGATTAATTTGACTGATTGTCAAACAGAACCAAATGATTACTGGATGATAAAGATCTTTGAATGTTAAAAAAACAATGAAAACACGTAATTTTGAATGTTAGATCTAGAGAGATCAGGTGAAACTATTGAAAGTTCAATTTTGCTTCGCTTGTGTTGTTGGGTTACTGTCTCATTCATATAAACCAGGCATCTCATTTTATTCATGAATGAAAAATGATACAGCAACCCACCAACCTATAACAAACTGAGAAAAAGTGACTTGAATTTTGATTTTTAAATAAGTAGAAGCAGAAACAAAAAATGTCCATCTGTCCACAATTTTAAGATTTGCTTTACCCATTTTTTGTATGAATAATAATCATATTTTTTTTTTTCAGTTACTGAGAGTAAACAGACTGCCTGTTTAGTTATAAACATTGATTGATAATATCTCCTTTGATTGATGATGATGATGATGATGATGATGATGAAATGTAACAAACAAAGCTTATTTGATATCATCACTGGATTCAGCAGTGAATTTCATATGTAGTATCCAATCTGTAGCTGCCCCAGAGGATCTTAATACACAGGACCATCAGAAAAGTGTTACTAGAAATTGCATATAGTAAAATCACAGAACAATTATTAAGAGTGCTGCTGTTTGTTAATTTATAAAAATTTTAATGATTAAATAAAATTAATAAATATATAATATGTTTTATAAGCTCAAGATTTTATTACAAATCATCCATTTGACATCATTTTCATGGTTCAGCGACTGATTGAGGAATTTTTAGTCATGCGAATTTCTCATTTAAAATCAGTAATAGAACAACTATATTTGGTATATGGGATCCTTGCAAGGTCTACATGTCCTTCAGACAGGGTTCACCCAACTTCAACCTTATTTCATGGATAGGTGATTATTATTTAAGTTTTGTGGTCAAGTCTGTATCTCAGATATTATAAGCAAAAACTCCATTTGGTGTGTTGAATGATTGTAAGATGTACATGTCAGACTGACAGGTTTCATCTGACCTTGACTTATTTTTATGGTTCATTAGTCAATGTTAAGTGTTTCACAGATACTATAAGCAATATATCAGCTGTATTTGGTTTCAGAAATAATTTAAAGTTGTACATGACTGTCTGGCAGGTTTCATCTGACATTGACCTTTTTTCATAGTTCATTAGTCATTTTCAAATTTTTCTGGTTTGGTCTATTTCTCAGATACTATCAGCAATAGGGCCACTATATTTGGTTTCGGGAATGATTGGAAAGTGTACAATGTCTGTCTGGCAGGTTTAGTTTTCATTGTTTATTGGTCAGTGTTAAGTTTTCATGGTGGTGTTCATTTATTGGATACTATAAGAAATAGGTCAAGTGTATTGGATACTATAAGAAATAGGTCAAGTGTATTTGGTGTATGGAAAGATTGTAAGGTGAGCATGTCTGTCTGGCAAGGTTTATCTGACCTTGACCTCATTTTCATGGTTCATTAGTCAAAATTGAAATTTATTTCTTAGATACTAACAAGCATTAGGTCAACTACATTTATATTCTGTGTAAGGAATTATTACATTGTGTTCATCTGACCTTGATCTCATATTGATGGATGATTGGTAATTAATAAATTTTCGTAATTATGTCAGATTCTCAGATACTATAAGTAAAGTAGGCAAGACATTTTAGCATGTGCAATACTATTTAAGAAATAATTCATGGATGCCATAGATTTGTTGGACATTTACACATGGCCTGGGCCTTGATATTCGAATTTTATCCTGAGCGTTAAATGTCCAACAAATCTATGGCTTCCATGAATTATTTCGATTCTAATAGGACAAATACGGTAATTTAAAAACTGAAGCGAAGGTAAGATTGCCGTGGGAATGGCTGTTCTAATTTACCCCCTGTAAGACAAAATCTTCAAATTTCAAATAAATCTAAGTCTTGCTAGAATTATTTCTTAAATAACCAGTAGTAAAAAGGTGTTCAATCCTTATAATTCTTAACCCAAACATTTTTTCGTTGGCTACTATTTACTGTCAAATCCACAGCTGACATGTAGTAACTAAGGAGTGAGCTGCCATGTTGACTTGCTGAAATCCACAAATGTGCAAATGCAATGAATAGAAAATGAAATAACTCCTACCTCAAAAACTCCACTTTAATGTGATATTATCGGAACTTAGGACATATACGTGATGTAAAACTTTGAGATTGAGAGTTCTCATTCGTATGACGTCATGTTATGACATGACGTTGATGCGCCAAGATCATTCACAAAATTTCCCGGAATTTTATTTTGATTTTATACATTTTTAAGCTCTTGTGCATTAATTCTTTTAATTATGCATTAGAATAGGAATAACAGTTCTGTAGTTTCTTTTTCAATTTCAATTTGAACACAACGAAATCGACATGGTGTTTGCACAATAGGTTACGATACATGTGGATTTACATGGGAGGTAAATAGTAACAGCCATCAATATGTAATCTCTGAGTCTGCGCTAAGTATAGCTACATCGAGATTTTTATCACACTGTTGTGTACAAAGCGAAAGCAGCACGTCATTTTAGAATTTTAAATAGAAAGTATTGGAATGATCACTATTTTTTACCAGTATGTACGCCAGGTTTGAATTTCATCAACTTTTTAAAATAAACTCGTAAAAAAAGAACTGAGAATTATCACTTTAAAAGAAACAAAAAAGACAAAACAGAGAAAAGCAGGTACATTTTGTGTAATCCTTTTCACTTTGAATACATCCTATGGAAAATCATATATCAATGTCCAGAAAAGGGCAGAGAAATGCTGTAAGCATTGAAGTCAATTTTCTGACTTACTCGTACAAGTTTAGTATAAGCCGGAATAAAATTAAATGTTTGATAAACCATGTCAGTGCATCAGTGCAGTATTTGTACACAGCTGGTTTGAATCAAAAGCTGTTATAATTGTAAGCTACAAATATGAGAATAAAAACGGGGAATGCATCAAAGAGACAACAACCCGACCAAAGAGCAGAAAACAGCCCAAGGCCACTAATGGGTCTTCAACACACCAAGAAAATCCTGCACCCAGAGGTGGGCTTCAGTTGGCCCCTAAACAATGTATACTAGTTCACCTATGTTTCTTTCCACTGATTTCAAGTGTTTCAATTTCTTGGGTCAAGTCTCACAGATATCCAAAAAGTGATAAAGTCTATATTGTTGCTTCATATTCAGATACTCCAGTGGCAACCTTTTCATGCATATTCATTCTTTTGACACATAAGACTTTCTTTAAAAATAAAAAGGTGTAAATGAATCATGTTAAATTTTATTACCTAGGAGGAATGTATCAAATCAATGTGAAATTCATTTTGTAAGAACTTTGACAGAAATGACATAAAAATATCATTTGTATTATGAAATTCCATAATCAAATGATATGCTTCTTTTGCACCTAGTGTTGCATATTCATTGTCAGACTGTCCATGGAATTTATATTCACTTATAACATAATACTGACAAAGTGATGTCATTATAGAAATAAACAAAATACTTAGTTCATGTTGATTTAATTTTCTGCATTTCAAATAACCTGACAAAAAGGTAACTGCCACTATATAACAATTATCTGGGCATGTTGAAACCATTAAATCACGAATAATCTGTCCAACTTCATAAATATAACAGGAAACACACATATCACTGAAGTCTATTATTCCAAACAGATCTTGAACTGTATAATTCCCAGAAAAATGACAATGTGGCTGAAGTTGACCATCTTTCCAGTTCACAATTAGATTCATATCATGTAAATCTCCATGAACTATTCCTGCAAAAGTACAAGGATATATAAATATATATCATTATGACTATACCAAGATGTCTTGGGATAATTTACAATCTATACAAAATTGAAGCATTTAATTGTTGTCAAATAAGCGTTGTTTGAAAAGAAGGTTACACATACGATCATCATGTGCCATCTCTATCTTACACAGTACAGGAAGACCTTATTGTATAGGGTGGATATGGTAGAGTACGGTCCAAACTTTTTTTTTATGTATTAACGGTAACCGATCTCCAGGTTAGGGGAGGGTTGAGCGCTCACAAACATTTTTAACTACTTCAAATTCTATATGTGCCTGTCTCACGTTGGGAGCCTGTAATTCATTGGTTGGTGTTGCTGTTTCATGTCCAATAGAAAATTCAATGCATATTCAGGATGAGAATATTTAAATGTTACAAAGATATAAACCCTGCTTTGTACTAGGCCACATGTTGACCTAAAGTTGCCCAAAGGGCCAAGTAAGCTTTTCTCATCACTTGGCGTCTGTTGGCCTCTGTTGTCGTTAACTTTTACAAAAATCTTCTCCTCTGAAACTACTGGGCCAAATTTATCCAAACTTGGCCATAATCATCATTGGGGTATCTAGTTTAAAAAGTTTGTCCGATGACCCTGCCTACCAACCACGATGGCCGACATGGCTAAAAATAGAACATAGGGGTAAAATGCAAGATTTGTCTATTATTTTGAAAACTGTTAAAAATAGAGAAAATCTGTCGGGGCGAAAATGTTCAGAATGTTGAGCTCTACCAATTGTTTATATACATCAAAACTGTCAGATGACTTCTTATAGGAGTTATTGCCCTAAATGACAAATTTTACCATTTTTTTCATTTTTGCCTATTATCTTGAAAACTATAATAGATAGGGAGAAACTTAAAAATGCTAAAATGATCAGCAAAAAAAGTTCTACAAATAAGTCTATGAGTCGAAATCGTCAGTCAACTCATTATTAGAGTTATTGCCCTTTGATGACAATTTTCACCAATTTTTTGCGTTTTTGCCTTATATCTTAAAAATTATAATAGAAAGATAGAAACTTAAATTAGCAAAAATGATCAGCAAGACGAGATCTACAATTTAGACAATATGGAGGAAATCGTCCTACAACTCCCTATTGAAGTTATTGCCCTTTAATGACGATTGTTATCATTTTTTTGCGTTTTGCCTAATATGATAAAAATTATAATAGATAAATTGACACTTTAAATCACAAAAATGATCAGCAAGGCAAGATCTACTAACAAGTCAAATTTTGCCAATATAGTTATTAGACTGTCACCCTTTATATGAGTGATTGCCCTTAAATGAGGATTTTTTTAACCCTCTTTTGTGTTTTGAGCAAAAACTAAAGAAAATAGAGAGAAACTAAACTGACTATAAAATGATCAGCAATTTAAGATCAACAAAACAAGAGATTTTTGTCATGAATTCTGTTCTTGTCTACAATGTTGGAGAGTTTCCTTTGTTGAATATGCACATAGACCAAGGTGAGCGACACAGGCTCTTAAGAGCCTCCAGTTTATGTACTAGTTTAGTGTAACATTCAGAAGACATTTCATCCTACTAGGTTACATTACTGTGACTGCAAGACATCCAGTCTTTGCTCTTACTACAAATTTCTGTATGGTAAGCAGAGAAGCAGTAAATACCAATTTTCAAATCTTTGGTTTTACCCAGCATGGGTTCAAACCCATGACCTACCACACTCCAAGGTTAGCATGTTATCTGGGTATCAGTCATGAATCAACCAATGCGATAATTAAATAACATGTTTACCTCTTGTAAAATGTTCTCCATTCTGCTCCATTAAGATAATAAACTGTTTAATTATTGATTCTATTACCTCCCTTTCCTTATCATCCTAAAAAAAGAAAATGAAATTAAAAACAATGTGAACTTAAAACTTTTATTTGTACTGTAGTACAGAGTACTGATTTTCATCAAAACAAAAAGTTATTATACCAAAGGATGTTCATATTTGCTATTGATTTTTTCTGTGTAGAGTCTGAAAACAAAAAATTACAAACCCACAGTCTAATGATATGTCTACAAACCTCCACAAATTCAGAATTTGTATTTGATAGAAAATCTTCCATTGAATTAAAACATTTGCATATTCATCAATATGCAGCTACATACTAATTAGTCAGGTAAATATGCACAGGTATATTTTGAAAAAGTCTAGTCAAACATATTAATTTCCAATTTACATAATTTTTTAAGTCCCAGCCACTATGTGAAATAATATATATCTGGTTGATAAAGACCTTACCAATAACATAAATAAATCAAATGATTAAAAATATGAGATGAATCAGCAGGAGGATGTTCTAAGAAAACTTATTAACCTAGTACCTTGATTGCAATTAAATATCCTAACATAACACTGGCATTTTCTAGGACCCAGGCATCTTCTTCATCTTTCTCTGCAGCCAACAATGAAGGATCTAAAGTCTAAAATGCAAATTAAAAATTGTACTTTAAAGAGTTGTTTATATACTACAAGCATTTAGACACAAAGTCAGATTTTCGTAATTGACATTAAATCCCTTATTGAACAAAAACATGAGCTTGTTAATTAAGAAAATAACTATTTATACAGTGCTCCCTCACTAATCCCAACTTTTTTGGACCAAGCAAATATTGGGCAATATGCAAGGGTGGCAGTATATCAATGGAAGACAGATTAGAAATTACAAAGGAGTTGTGAATGACTGGTTAGTTAAATAAAATTAACACTACAGAACTTCGAGGAAAAATGTACATTGGTACGTGAATTACAAAACAACAACATTATTTGATTTGCAATTATTATTTTTACCACTAAAGACATTAAAAGATCAACACAGCTTTAGATGACTTTCTAAAGAAGAGACCAATCTCAAGTTGTTTTTTGTGAATGAGTTACACCCTTTGACCTGAGGTAAATCGGCGTGAATGATGTTAATGAACAATTGGTTTTTACTGTGATGTAATATCATAAGCATTGTGATCAGATCAACATTTTTCTGCTTAAAATAATAATTCACTGTCTGTTCTGTGCATTTCAAGATCAATTTTGAGGTCATCCATATTTACCCTACTTCTTTACCATGATTGGTCTCTGATTAACATACCTGTAATGTGTTGTGTAAATTAGCTACCATTTCTCCCACTTGTTTAATCACCATAGCCTTATTAAGTTTTGACCAATGGTACATCAATGGGCTTCCTTGTATGTAATTCAAAAGTAGTACTAAATAATTTTTTCCTGAAATTATAAAACAAAATATATATATGCACATATCACAAAAAGTAATTTATACCAGATTCTAATTGATTAGTTTTATCTTATCTTTAGTAAAGCACAGTATTCTGAATTCAAAGTATGAGATGAAACTTCAATTTAATCTCTATTTATATGCTATTCATTGTTGAAGAAAGACTATGCTTATCATTCAAAACTTAAATGTAAAAGCAAGATAAGAATAGGAAAAAATATCTCACTGATGTATACAAATGTACCTTGCATCTTCTACTATTCAGTATTGTGTTTAGTGGACATGCACATTGTATCTTGTGTTCTTTTTTCAATGTACTAGTTTGTAGCCAATATTTTAATTCATTTAAAGGAATCAGTGCTAATAAACTATTTATTAAAATAAAACTAAAAACATATTACATTGGAAAAACTGGGGACTTTATGTCTAAAAGCTGCATACACATAGTAAACAATAAAAGAGTTATCCCCCTTTAAACATTTAAAATGAAAGTTAATATACGAATAAGATAAAAAATGTGGATAAAAGTATATAATTTTTTCTCTCGAAAAGTCCAAATACAAATGCACAGTGACTGTAGTCCCAAGTTTTAAATAATCATTGTACAAAATTATACATGTATAAACTTACCATTCTTCTCCATCTTATATGAAGTTAATAACTTTGTGCAGGTAAAACCATTATGCAGAAGGCAGTTCAATATTTTCTTAAGAGATTTCCACTTTAATTCGCTCATTTCTTCACATTTTGTCACTTTTACTACAAACTCTGTTAAATTCCCTATGTAATCACACTGGTTTTGTTCACTCGTTACAATTCTTAAATAAAAATTCCTGTCTTCATATGCTTTTAGTTCTTCAATATGGGACACTGTACAGACAATATTGGTCTCCAGTAAAGATATCATATCGGCTGCATTTGGTCGAGTATCTTTCTGAACATCCATGTTTTCTCTGAAAATATTTTAAAAAGACATAACATTTATTTATGCATTTTATTCTTCTATGCTACCTGATCAATACAAAACAAGGATTCTCAATAGATGATATATGCCAATAATCATTCATTTGAAGTTTCAAAAGAAGTGGTCTTGTACTTCCCACGACAAAAAATTTAAAAATTGACTCCTGAGAATTAAGAACCCATAATGTTTATCCCATCATACTGAAATAATATATTCATATGAATGATCTTCCATATAATATACCTGATAAATTTGGTTCAGATTATTCATGAAGTTTCAGAAAAAGATGAAAATTTTATCTCCAATAGATTTTAGGGTAATTTATGAGGCATTATTGCCGTCATGGCCCATGCATGTACAAAATGTCATCCAACAAAATAAAAGCAACATAAGGTCAACATACCATATTTGATAAAACATTAAGAAAACAAAAGACAACCACTGACATGACTGACAAGATATCTAAATTTTCAGCCACATTAAAATTAACATGTGGCAGTTAAACTAGATTTTTGAGTTCTCAACTCTCTCTCTATCTCTTTCTTAATCTCAGTGGGGATTAACAAAGCCATTAAGGGTTACATAAAATAATCTAAACAAAATATTGAAACAAGCATGATGATCTACATACAATTTTGTATTTTCAATCAAATCTGGAATACATATAGACATTTAACTCTCTACTCAGGAACATTTCAAGCTCCTAGAGCCCTTTCAATATCTGATGAGCTGACACCTACATTTTGTATTTGAAATGCTCCTGTTGGTACATTTGGTCTATCCTGTACATGTATATTCAAAGCTTTAAGTTGTTGATACATTTTATTACAAACAACGTATTATGATTGCTCTTCAAGACTAATTTTTTATATCATAATATATCTTACCTAAATTGTCCTTGTGGACATCAATTCATATCTTTGGACACATATTGATGGATTACATCTCTGAAATTCTATACAACTGAACATGTTTTGGCTTACACATATTCAAACTTCCATTTCCATTCCAATCTATCTAATGCAATGAGTTGGTATATCTTTTGAATTCTTCTATCCATCAAAGAAATATGTTTCACCTGTGAGTGATATAATATGTTTTTAATTTGATGAAAGTATGTGTGATCAGGACTAGCATGACTAGTTATATTTTAATATGAATTATTACCATCTTATGTCAAAATAAATATAACCAAGGATATACAAAGATAATTCGCCATCATTGTCCATAGTCAATTAATCACGTAAAATGTACATTACATGTCACTGAATATATAATGGAACAATAAACTCTTCCTTGGATTCTGTATGGTTAATTAAGTGAATATCAAAAAATCTCCACAGAATTTCTGCAGTAATCTGAACTCCATATTATATCTATGTTAAACAGTAATAAAACTGTATTAACACATAACTTCACATTCTATGGCAAAAATTCAGTACAATGTATTACTTGTAGTATTACAATACAGGGTTATAGGTTCTCCCAAGTATCTATACTATTAAACGAGAAGACCTCATTTTGTGTGTCGCTTCTCTTCCTTCCCCAATAAATTAATCATCATGCCTCTGTGTCCTATAGGTACCATGCATAGTCGCATTTGTCATCCATTCTTATGATTATTCAGTTTGTGTTATTTTGGGAGAAAAACGAAGAAAAAGGCTTCCGGATATTGTTTCCGTCATCAGACCGACTTTTAAGTCATACCCAAGACTTCCGATTTTAAACTTTAAAAGAGGGGGTAAAGGTTTTTTTTTCGAGCAACATGTTTTGCCACTTTTTATTTCATGTGCAGCCGTGAAAAAGGTTCGTTATTCACCATGTTTCTTGAAATCGATAAAAAGATCAACGTGCAAGAATTTTTTCATTGTTCGCTCATCGTGAAATGGCAATTTTATTTCGCGTTCTTTCGATCGTGCAGATACCTCCCTTTACTCCCCTCTTTAAACATAATTTTCATAATTACTCGGGGACAGGACAATTATTTTCGCGTTATTCTGCATTATACTATGATTATAATCCTATAATATATAGAGACTCTCTATATAAATTATATAGCAGTGATCGCCGTGGATGGAATTGATAGTTAATAGCAAATACACTTTATTTATATTATATGTAGTTCTATGGTCATAGTATACAGAAACGCGAAAATCATGCAATTTAACAGAGAGCAAAAAAATAACAGACTTTGGAAAAAAGGGAGAGGGCTTAAAATAATTGTCCTGTCTCCAAGTGCTTATGACTCAGTTTGATACCTTTTCTGAATTTCTCCAGACATAAAATTTTTTACAAAAATTCACCCTATAACAGTTTACATACTTTCAACCAAGCTCTAAATACCCGCGATTTCGCGGGTGTGTTCTAGACTCTAGTTTTTACTGAAACTGTCAAACTCACGGTGGGTAAGTGAAAGGTTAATTTTCAGGGCACTAATGTTAACACCAGATGGCGCATTTAATTTGACTTCCGTCAGTCGCATTTCCGTTGAGAATGTAGAAATAAACCAAACAGATACAAAAAAATAACATTTTGAGCCCTCAGTTTGACATTTATGAGATTGGAAAATACTGATATGTAGCAGAAAGTCAGCATTGAGAACATGTCCAGGATGAAAAGTAAATGAACCAAGTTTTTAAGAAAACATACAGCTGTTCTTACCGTCTCAAGTTTAAACAAGCAGCTAACAAAAATTATTCATTTGTAGTGTTCTGTTTCTATGAATTATACATAGATATAGATAACTTTATTTGAATTTAGCATAGTATAAAACCTATTAACATTAGCTCTGGTGAACTTTTTATAGAATAAAAAAGGTATACAAAACAATTGAAACAAAGCATTATGTGCAACTGTTGTATAACTTGAAATATAAAGATTGTCTTAACTGGTTGAGTTAGGGAAGATCTTTTTTGGCTTAATCGGTTAAAGCACTGCCTTTGGATCCCATGATTCAGAGTTCGAATCCTGCTGGTACCATCAATGTATTTACAAAAAGTCAATATTGCCATTATTGGTGCTGTGAGCATCTACTACTGGTATATACAAGTGAGTGTGATGCCTGGCAGTTGAGGTCTGATCAGGTCATTAGATCAAGGAACTGGTCAGAGGGTTTCCAAGTGAAAGACTCAAAAAGGACCTGTAAGCTGCTCTGATGGATGGTTCGCAGTGCGAAAAAAAAGGGGGGGGAGAGAGTGTTGTATTTATAACAAGAGATATATTGGTAGTCTAACTGTTTGAGTTAGGAAAAATTTTTTTTGGCTGAATAGGTTAAAGCACTGCCCTAGATCCTGAGATTGAGAGATTCCGCTGGTACCAATCATGTATTTTCACAGTTAATACAAAAAAACATACAATTACATCCGACTTTGCCGTATCATTACTTCAAATAGTATTGGTCTGCCTTTACTACAAATCACAGACGTTCCCAGAAAACTTTGACATCACAAGAGAAAATGATTGATGAGACAAAAGAAAAACGATTGTTGTAGGACGTCCATACATGTAGTTCAAGTGTTGCAAATTCTTCGGTCAAGTGTCACAGATTCTGAATGGACCAAGACGTGCAGAAAAAGTGTAAGGAAAAATATAAGCAGAGGAAAGGACAACCTGCATCCTGAAGCGAAGGAAGACCTTTGAAAAAATTTCAGGCTGAGGCTGGTCACCTAGGAAAGATAGAGGTAGACTGTCACCATAGACACCCCACCAACCAAGAGGACATAATTCCGAAAAGGGCCAGGAAAAGGCCTGATTTAAGTTACTGACATATTTTAAAAGAAGCCTTCTTCAGTAGGATGCAATGAAGATAAATAAAATAAAGATATATTTCAATTTGCATTTATTTAATGATAGATATATATACTGCTACTACTCTTAATTATGCTGCCAGGTTGATAAATATTGGCAACTCATCGGTCCAAATGTCTGGTACAAAAATGTGGGATCCCATATTTTGCTGCAAAATTCAAAACAAACCGGATCCCATATTTTGCTGCAAAATTCAAAACAAAACATGTTAACATATTTTTTTTCTCATCACCCTCATAATGCTCATTGTGATTACAATCTAAAATTATGCACCTGCTAAGTTTTTCTTTTTAAATTTGATTTATTATGTAGAAAATAGCTTAATGCTTTGAAAACTAAAGTTCTTTTTTTATCAGTGCTAGATATTTAGGTGGTAGTTTCTGACAAGACAACTAATATAATCAATGTGCAACTAGATATGATAAACTTAAACAGCTTTGAATTGGAACTGTTACTTTAATTGTATACTCAGGTATAAATTTAACAACAATATAAAAAAAGATACATATATAGCCCTTTATATTATAGTTAAAACCAAACATTGTAGCGCCGCGAGCAACTTTGAATACTCCTCTTTCAAATCTCACCACTTCTCCCTATCACATGTATCAGTTTCAAAAACAGAAGTCACTTCTCGGAATCTCCCTACGAATCTGAAGTAGTGTGAGCCCTGAGATTATGGTATAATTGTCAATGATTGAGACAACACACCCACCCACAGTGACACCCTCCACAATACAAAAAAAAGATTATTGGAATTCATAATATACAAGACAACACATTTATTATTATACATGTTATACCACAGTGACATTGACAGTGTAGTGCTTTATGTATATGGTTGCCTGGCAATATATTTGTAAACTTAACAAAACATTACATGCAGTTCTTTAAATATGATGAAACAAGCTCAGTATAACCTAACACCAAAAGCACATTAATTTTGTATCTTAGTTACTGAGTTATGAAATATTTCATGTAAAAGTAGAACCTAGGATTTAGGTGTGGACCTTTCAGTTTGGAGTGTCAAAGGTCATGGACCTTCCAGTACTAAATGTTAATTTGAACCCCTGATAAAACCACTTGATATATATTTTTTATTGTGTCACCAAATTGAATCATTGAAGTTGCACTCATTTTTCTGATTTTGTACACCTTTCATAACTGTTTGCTACAAATACACACCATGTAAAATGACTGAGAAAAGAGGATCAGGTTTAATAAGAGAATCCGTTGAACATTCGTGACTTGTAAAATAGCATTTTCATCATATACATTCCACAAAAATCGTACTACTGAATATAAATATTAACATACCAAGTGTATTTGCATATATTCACTTGAAATAAATAAAATCAATTAAATGGCAGATCTAACATAAATTTCTTATCTTTTATTCAGGTGGGACACGTAGGAAGTGTAGTACTTGCTGCTCAGATGGACAACAGTATAATTATCATCCAAGCAAGGAAATTTTTCATCATCTATTTAAAAGACAATATTCAGGAACATGTACAAATGCTCAAAAAATTGTCAATGACTATGTTTCACACCAGGCCCCAGGATTAATGAAAGAAAAAGAATATGATCTGGGAAGTAACAATAAAGTATTTGCATCTAAATGGCTAGATGATAAGCAAGTTGTTTTTGGAACAAAATGCAACAAGGTATGTATTTTTCCTGTGTAGTTTTTCTATTCATGTGTCATTCTTTTTTTAGTGTCATCTGAAAGCAAGAGACCTAATTTTCCTGTGTAGTTTTTCTGTGCATGTGTCATTCTGTTTTAAGTGTCATCTGAAAGCAAAAGACCTAAAGACATCAGAGTTGATTGATCTTATTTTTAGTTGTCTTTCTGTTTTACTGTGGTATACTAGTATACATCTGTTCCATAAAATTTTAATAACACTTATCTCAACACTACCAATCAGAGTTTCCCACAATTTGGTATCAAGCTTCATGTTAGCAAACTTTATTGTGTGATGGATTTTGAGATTCATTGCTCATCAACTTCCTGTAACCTGAATACTTGTATATTCTTGATCAATGATCATCATAATGGCAAAATGATAATTTATTGCATTTTTCTAAGGAAATACAAATCAAGGCTTTCTGAAATTTGGAATCAACCTTCATGTGAGCATGCCTTACCTTTTGGTTTGCTTTTACATCCATCAAACATCATCTTTCTGTTTACAGAATACTTACAGCTGGGTGTCATTAGTGAGTAATATTTCACAACTTGTTTGATTCTGATAAATCTCAGACTTTTCTGTAAAGATCATAAACATTGTACATACTATTTGAAAGAATATAAAATAAACTTTTTTTTCCAGTTGATGGTAATGGATGTTTATACAGGACGAAATATTCAGATTCCATCTTTAAAAAGCAGTGATGAGAGTACACCAGCTGATTGTCCATGTGGTATACACGCTATAGCTCTTAACCCATCAGAATCCCTCCTGGCAACAGGTGGAGAGAATACAAATGATTTGGCAATATACATGCTTCCCACTTTTGACCCTGTTATGGTTGGTGAGGTAAGAGTTTGGCTGTCTAAAACAAGGCAATACATGTATATATTGATATTTATGATGGTTAAAATTTTTAAATTACTGCACAAAAAAATGTCAAGCCTGTAACCAATCTAAGGTTGATTGATGTTTAATGCCACTGTTAGCACTATTGGCTATTTTTTTGCGACCAGTTTTTATTGGTGAAGGATGCCGGAGTGCCTGGAAAAAACCACTGACTTTTTGTAGGAAAAACTGACAATACTAGACTATCAAGATTGGAGTCAAACGCAACTGTCACGCACTGGATTCAAACTCACAACCTCAGTGTTGACAGGCTAGCTAGGGATAAGTAGATGAACTAAGAAGACTTTCTATCAAGGAGTAAATTGAAAATCTAAAAAAATCATTTTTAAACTGTTGTTTGAATAATTTTTTAAGTAGCTGAATATATGTACAGAATGCTGGTGAAATTCTGCTAAAGATTATCATAAATTCTTATTTCTTATCAGACGAAATTTTAATATTCTTTTTCAGTGTTCACATTCAGACTGGATATTTGATATAGAATGGGTAGATGATGAGTATGTCTTGACAGGTGAGAATCTCAGCACAACAATTGTTTTCATTAAAATTTTTAGTTTTCAATAATTATGAAAATAAGGAAACATAATATGATTGCCAATAAGACAACTTGAGATGTGATATGATTGCCATTGAGACATGAGATGTGATATGATTGCTAATGAGACAATATGAGATGTGATATGATTGCTAATGAGACAACATGAGATGTGATATGAATTACCAATGAGACAAGAGATGTGATATGATTACAAATGAGACAACATGAGATTTTAAATGATTACCGATGAGACAACATGAGATGTAATATGATTACTGATGAGACAACATGAGAAGTGATATGATTGCAAATGAGACAAGAAGAGATGTGATATGATTGCAAATGAGACAACAAGAGATGTGATATGATTGCCAATGAGACCACATGAGATGTGATATGATTACCAATGAGACATGAAATGTGAAATAATTTCCAAAAGTGACCAAAGGTTTATATATTCGGATATGACAATTGTGTCAGGGTTGGATGAGGTACAAAACCAGCTTTTTGTATGGTGATGTCTGGCAGGGGGGGGACAAGTTGGTACTTGATTTGTGTGCTACAGTTTTTAACCCAGATCCATGAAACTTCACAGGAAGATTGCACATATGTTGAAGTTGTGCACCTGCTATTATGGAATTGTTGAAATATTTTTTTTCTCCAGCAAAATTTATGAAATAGGGTACAAGTAACAAATTCTTCTTCCATTTAATAAGGTAAATCATTTTGATCTAGTCCCAAGATTGGCTTGACATCTGACAGCCTTTTTGTAACTTACTGGTGCCTGGGGACATCAGCTCTCCATCCATATGTCATATAGTTAACATGGAAATTTCTGTCCCAGGCTTTTGGTGGCAAGTGTCTGTCTCAAAATCATAATCGATCAATTGTCAAGCAGATAAATCTTGCATCATTTGTTTTTATTCATTTTCCCCCACTTATATGTACCTTTAATTATGATCACTGACTACCCGCATATAGCATACACAAAAGCTTAATCCCCTCAACCCTTTATTTTTGACAACTAACTTTCACAATCAACAAGTTTTCACTGGACTCGTGAATTAGTTCCCATGATTACACATTTTTTGTCAGAGGTATTTATGCCAAATCACAATATCATAGAAAGTAAAAGTTATGTTGCTAAGTTTGGAGGTGTTTCTTTCATAAGTACTTTATTTATGATGAAATAGACTTATGTTGTTCCATTTGCTGTTTGGTGTTTGCCTATAACATTTAAATTTTTGTTGCAGGTTCAAGAGACAGTCAGTTAGCTTTGTGGAAAGTAGATAATTTAGAAAAAAATGAATCTACAGAAAGCACAAGTTTACAGTTCCCAGAATATACTATTAAGAAACCAGAAGTGGTTAAACTATGTGATAAAGCTCAGAAAGTCAGGGCATTGTGTTTTGATTATAATAGAAAGGTGAGAAATTATCTCCACTGTTAAACTTGGTAATATAGAGTTTACTTTTTATGCCCCCGCCACGGCAGAGGGGAGCATTAAGTGTTACCCTTGTCCGTATGTCCCTCTGCACTTCCGTACGTATGTCCCAAAATTAGTTTCTGTTCTCTAACTTTAGTTTGCCTCAACCAAATGTTATGAAACTTGTACACAATCACAACCACAAAACACAGATCAAGTTCACAATTTGGTGGTGTTACTTTTACTGTTCTTGAGTTATGCCCCTTTATAAATGGAAAAATTGCTGAATTTTTCGTTTCAGTTCTCTAACTTTAGTTTGCCTCAACCAAATGTTATGAAACTAATACACAATGCTTATTACCACAAAACACAGATTAAAGTTTGAAATTGGGTGGCGTCACTTTTATTGTCTAGAGTAATGCCCCTTTTTAACGTGATATGCAAGCGGGAGCATGGACACATTCTCCATTTATTTATCTCTGCACAGTGACTTATCCTAAATGCGCAGTAGATTTTAAAACTGAAATTGAAGGATTAATAACCATTTAATCGTAAGGTATCATTGACGAATTGCTAAAACAATCCCAAATACATGAAAATATTAAATCAATTCCGTTAAAAAAAAATATTGAAGACAAAGTTATCATCAAAATACAACAAACTGGTAATCACTGTGCTCACCTTGTTTCACCGAAAATGGCGCGAATAATAATGTAAACATGTTGAAATGACACGAGATCTTAACAACAAAACAAACAGCAGTAAATTTGAAAGGATCTGACCCGATATGGGTTTCACCTGATGAAAATGTCTATGATAACTGAAAGGCGTTATTACAGAAATTGCTTCTTTGTACAATAACGGACATGTGTTATGTCAACACAATTCATGGCAGGAGGACATAACTCTGTCAGAATTCCCACAATAACAGTACACCTGTTATTTTCTGTAATAACTTGTTTGAGTTAGACCCTTGACTGGTAACTTGGATTACTTGAATCTTATATCTGTAACACATTAAATAATTTATCTCATGATACATGTGATATGTATTAGCACACATTTATGGATAATGATCAAGGCAAAATAATAGGTTTATTAAAATTTCAATAAGGATTTGAATACAGTTAAACGTCTACTAATGTTAAAATATCAGCTCATATAAAATAAAAATATGTTCTCTTTATAAATTCCATAAAGCTGATTTTTATCTCAACAAATATATTATAGCCTGAAGATATTTTGTTGCTGTTCTGAGAATTTTTGCTTTAATGTGAGAGTTTGAAGAATCTGCAAATTATCATTATTCTTTAAGATTATGTATGAACTGGTGGTAAAAGTGAATTAATGAAAGGTTGTCAATTTAAACATTACACCTAACTGCCTCATTGATCTTGTGAAAGTGGGCACACATCAAGTGTGGCAGGTCATGGATTCAACCAAAAATTTGAAAATTGGTATTTGCTGTTTCTCCTCTAAGTGTGTGGCAATTAGGAGTAAGAGCAAAGATTGGTCACCAGGAGGCAGAACAATGTGTTCTGGTAGGGTGACATGTCTTCCTGCCGACTGTTACCTCATACGTTAAAAATCCATTAATCCATCGGTCACTCTAGTAAAAAAGCAGGGTTTATAGTCATTCCACATTATCAATTTCTCTGCCTGGATATGCATTTCAGTTGTCATTGGACATTAAACCACCATCTATCCATCTTTATATTTCTATTTGCAGGAATTAGGTGTATTGTCATTAAATGCGTATTTCCATATATGGGATGTAGAATCATTTTCGCCTGTAAGTACTGTATTTAATTGTAGCTGATAATAGAGAAAATTTAAGAAAAGATGGAACAACAGATTAAGATTATATATGATATAGCTATTTGTAGCTTCTCTTTTTTTGCCATTAACCGGGATATTAATTATTCAAGTAGTACTGATAGTAAATCTATTTACTTTCTTTTTATTTTAATCTAAAGATATGATTTGTGAGTCACGATTCCTTTAGCTTAGGGAATAGACCTTAAGCTTCATAATGTGTGAAGGAGTTAAAATTTTACCTTGTAAAAATGTTTTTGATATGTGTTTTTGTCATTTTATGATTTTTAATCTTTTCCATTTCTATTTTATGCTATTAAATGAAACCAAAGTACTCTAAAACTAAAGTAAGTTATAAACTTTACGACATTCCTTGTTGATAAGACAATAACTGAAGTTTTGATAAAATCGAGTTTATCAATGCACATGTAAAAGATGCTTACAATTCTCTTAACCCTAGAAAAAATTTCATATATATTGTTATGTTGAATGAATTGCATAAAATGTATATTTTTTATTCATAGGTCAGCAGTAGAAAATTATTCCACTCTAGAGAGAATGTATGTATGGCTGTTTCTATAGATAAGACGATGTATGCAGTGGGATCTCAATCTCATATCAATTTGGTAGACCCAAGGTCACCTAATACTTTAACAACTGTGATATCTAAATACAGAGGTGGTGGTAAGTACCGTGTTTCTGCTTGTTTCTAAAGTTGACCAGTTGTTTATTATTCTAAAACGATAAATCTATTAAAACTTGTTATGAAATGAAATGCCTTCGAAAGGACCAGTTTGTTCATTCCATTCAGTCTGTTTAAAAATAACAATATTATTGATGATTTCAGAATTGCGTTGTTGCAGATACTTACACAGTTTTTATTTTTAATTATATATTAAAATAAATACGGAGGAAGACATATTTACACAATATCATATCAATTACTATGTTATACAACTTAACTTAATTTGGGTTCAAAACACATTTATAACCCCCAACCCCTCATCTTTCCCACTAAAAAAAATACTAAGACTTTGGTAAGTGAAAACTGACAATTGGAAAATTTAATCATGGAAACCACCTTCCCTAATACTAATGTCTTTTTCATTTACATTGTCATATGTGTATTGTATTTCATTTACACCTTTATTTGTTGATAGGTGTGCGGTCACTGAGTTTTAAAGGAGACATACTAACAATTGGAACAGGTGTTGGACATGTGTTGTTCTTTGATGTTAAAGGTGGAAAATACATAGAAACTGAATGTGGGGATGTGTGTTCACTTAAGGTTGCCAAAGGCTGGTTGGTAGGTATATTAAATAGAAAAAGGCTATATAGAGAGGATATCTGAAAGTTTAGAAAACATGAAACAAGGTCAAGTCCATTTCTTTCCTTTTCATAAAGTTCACAACATTACTGTGCAAAGTTTAAAGTCAGGTGAAAAAGGATTTGTTTCTCAAGTCAGCTACCAATACCATGTTTTTTTGGAACTAGTAAGGAAAAATCATGCAAAATGATCTCATAAATTGTAGGACACAGTTTTGTTTGTCTTAGAATTTTCAATAAAATGGTCATCATGGGTAATATATTAAAATTAAGGGTTAAATTGCAATTACATCCCAGATAACTGTAGAATAGAAACAATCATGGTTACCCCTTTATAATTTGACTTAATTGGTCGGTCTCAAATATGGAACTTGATGCTGTACTGTGGATTAATTTATTTTCATAGTTACCAATTTTCATGGATATTTGATTTTGTGGTTTTGCAAAAGCCTGCATACAAGCCAAAAAAGAATTCCTTCTTCATTGAACATTTAAATTCGTGGTTCACATATGCATATACCCACTAAATCAACGAAAATTGGTTTCCCACAAATAGTAATGAATCCACAGTAATATCTATACAGTTATTGCATGAATATTGTCCAGAGTAGATTTTATATTACATGAGCTTATATGTGCAATATATATTCTACAAAAGATAATATGTTCATGCAATAACCTTTTATTGAATAGCAAAGCTTGAAAAACTTAATTATATTTTGGTCAATTTGACATCAATAATTAATAGCTCTAGGGCAAAATCATTGAATATTGCACACTAACTTTTTGTTAACATCTATGGGAAAATTTTAAATGCTTTACTATACAGCTTGATAATTACCTCCTGATGGCTTAAATATCAGTTGTTCATTGATTGGTTCATCCACATTAAACTCTTTTATAACAGAGGTTTATAAGCATATCTTGTCTAGTAGGTATACAAGAAACAGCATATCTTAAGCAAATCAAACAAGCTTATATCCCTATAATATGAGTCCAGGTCTGCTGTCAGCTGTGGAAAAGCCTACAGTACTTACAAATTTTGTTGAAGGGATTTGCTGTACTTGATACAATATTAATAAGAGGAGATGAGGGGTATACATCAATGAGACATCAACCCAACAACACATAAACCAAAAGAACATTTAGCATTTGTCTAGGGTTTAACATACAACCTTCAATGGACAAATGTCTATTCAACATGTCAAGTTCACCCTACGTCTAAAAGAAGATTTGGAAAAAATTAAGCACAAAATAAAAAACAGCCACTGATGTGGTTCCTGACTTTGAACAGTCATGAAAACATGTAGCAGGTTTTTCCATGGCACTTAAGTTTCTTCCATCAATAAAGTAAGACCACCATGAAAGTTACTGTAATGTTTGAAGTTTCACTAGGCCACAACTATCAATTGTTCATACTCCATAATCCATAATTTGATTGTTAGTAAACATCTGACATGTAAAAATTACTACAAAATAAGCATTACTATTTGTAATTTGTATCAGGAAATAAATAAAAAGTTAAATTTTTCTTAATGAAATGATGATGTACAAATGATTGTTAATTTGTTTTTTCAGCTGCATGATGAAAACTATCGAGAGTTTTTTATGGAACACCTTTATCCAAATGCTATATATACACATCAATATGACCACACAGGAACTAGACTGTTTACAGCTGGAGGACCATTACCAGCTGGGCTCTGGGGAAATTATGCTGGACTATGGTATTAGTATTTCCATTTCTCGATTGACGGAAGAAGGTAGCCATGTAAGGATGATTGATTGCAAACCTGGACTAAAATTGTTTTCTGGAGTTCATCACCTCAATGGTTTGAATCGTAATACACATGCCAAAAAAGTGTACTGAAAATGGCATTGATGAAGGAATGTTCAAGGAATCGTATGCATGTAAAACAAAGTTCATAAATTCACTTTATTCAATTTTGTTTCATTGTAAGAAACAAGTTATGGTCAGTACTGTTTTGTATAACAACCACAGATCATTGTAGATAATCTCATCAATGGACCTTATTAGAGACACCCCAGTTAGTTCCATTGAAATATTGTTTTATCCATTTTTGCATAAAAAGGCTGTTGTTGAGTCAAGTTTTGTTACATTTTTGCCTTTTTAGTTTTCTGAATATCTTGTATAAAATGAACTAGTATTTTTGGAATTGTTGAGGCTAAAAATTGGTCATATTGGAAGTTACTCAAAGCTATCTATTTTAGTTCTTTCTCTGGGTGTATGTACTTTAAAATTTTCTTAATATGCAATACACTTATTTCAGTGGGCATCAACTGTAAAATGTATTAATTAGGCATAACAAATTCATAATGTTATTAGAACAATAAAGAACATGGAGTAGATGGACTTTTATATAAACAAAAGTGGTTAGAAATAATGGGTATGATACACATATACATATATATGTCCCAATTTATAAAATATATAAAATAACTGGCAAAGTCTTTCTTGGAGTATTGTCATAAGTGACTATAAACAACAGACTATCTTTCTTGGGTACAATATACAATTTATAAAGATATTTGACATGGAAGTTCAGTATTTGTGTAATTAAGAATAATATCCCTTCAATGGGAATATGAGTTACTGATATTCGGATGACTCAGTAGAAATAAACATTGGTTCATATCACCACATCATGTTTTGTATTGGAATTCACATTCATGAATATTTATAAAACCATTTTATAATTTAAATTATTTATTATTTTGATTTTAAAAATGAGAATAAATCAAATAAGAAATGAACTCATTTTGTAAATTTGTTACACTTTTCCCTTTACATATTCATTAATTATTAATGATTATGCTTGAAAAGGAATTTTAATTTTTCATACAAACATTTTTGGTGGCCTTCATCTGTTTTCTGCTCTTTGGTCGGGTTGTTCTCTCTTTGACACATTCCCCATTTCAATTCTCAATTTTATTTTTCTTCAGAAAAGCATGAAACAGGTTTTTTTTTTTATGAGCAGTTTAGTTTGATATTAAGAATATAAAATTTTATTTTGCAATTCTATTGTTAACAGTACCAAAACATATCTTTTGAAGAAATAATGCTTTTACTAAAGCAATGTCTTCCTAATCTAGACATCACAGCTTTGGAAAAAAAACTTTTAATGTATAAAGTGAAAATTTGTGAAAATGTAATGACATTTTTTTAAGTTAAAATTGTTATACACTGCCATGCTGATTTATGTTGAAATAGTTTTATTTAATTTTTTTGTGTATGCCTGTTATGAAAGAGCACAGATTGATGTAGTGAAACCTTTGCTTGTTGTGATAAAGCAAGGATAACTGTTATGAATATTTGTATAAAACATAATTAGATGCATTTAATTACTAAATTAAAGGTTAAACTACTTGGGGAAAGTTTGAAATTTAACCAAATTAAAGAAGATTTTATTTAGATAAGTTGCAAAAATTTTGAAATGAAGTTGCACATATGGTACATTTATGATTTACTTTTCAACCAGAATTTTATCAAGACTAATGAATTTTAAACAGAATGTGTGGCTGAATGTTCAAAAATAATATAGTGAGTGACAGTTTAGTATGATGTGTTCATGTGTTGTTTACACATAAATTTGATGTATGAGAGGTGAAAGCTGTCGATACATAGAATGATGACAGAAAAGTTTGGAAAAGTAGATGAACGGTAATATTAAAATCAGTTGGGTTATCCTGAGATGCAATTAAATATTTTGTGTTTTAATTGAAGTGTTAATGTAGTCTCTGACTATACTGTCTTCATAAATCTGTTTACTATAAACAATATTGCAATATCTCCAAGAGGAAATTTTTATATAAAGTTGACATTCACACTGAATATTACTGCATTGGAATTGTCTCAATATTCTTGGTTAGTGTCTTATTTTTGTTATTTTTTTTTTAAATCACTGTTCTAAAACAACATAAAAAACCTCTGATGATATATCAGAAGTGTTCTATAATGATGTAAAAATGATATACTTTTCCACTGAAAATGTCATACATTAAAAATAGAATGGAATTTTACTTTTTATTTCTTCCCTATAGCTAGTTGGACTATTGGACTACAAAAAAAAATGAGGTCTAATTATGGAACAGTTGTATTGGGATTGTCTTTGTCCATCTGCGGACACAGATTTTAATTTTTTTTTAGTTCACAAGTCCGTTAAGCTTGATGTTAATAAACATGAGAGAAAGGTTTGTATTGACATTTGGAGTTATGGCCATACTTGTTTTGGAAAAGGGGCTTATTGATTTACTAGTTTTACACATGCATTAAAGGATGTTCGCTACTCTTGCTTCTGACTTTTTGTCAGATATTCGGAATCCTCTAGTTTGATCCATGTAGAGCCAATAAAAATTTTGCCCGCTAACCCCTTTTCTTTATTTTATAACATACAGTTTAAAAATCGTATAAAATTCTTGTTATTTTGTCATAGTTTTTGAAAGAAAAAGAAAGTTAAACGTATGAAAACTCAAGAGAGAATCATTTCCCGCCAAATTTTCAATTGATTATACATTGTATGTCAAAAACAAGGACACGGACCATTCATTTTTTTCTGTTTATTAAGTTCCTTTACTTATATACTATCAATGTATTACAGCCTTTTTAAAAAAAAAGCTTTTTATTTTAAAACAGAGTAGCAATCATCCTTAAACACCCTGCAAACAAAAGTTTTTTCTGAGATATTAGGAATCGACCTCTATCCATCCATCTTGTTAGAGTAACTCCTCCCTATAGTCTGAATCAATATGGAAGAAACTTGACCCATTTATAGAACACTTCCTGAGAATGTGCATAAAGGAATATAATCTAGATAAGATTACCATCTGTAGCCTAGATGCTGACCTACTTTCCAAGATACCTCCTTACAAAAGTTAAATAAATGGGAATTGTGTCCATGGGACACAGATGATGCCCCCGCTTGCATATAATGTTATAAAGGAACATAACTCAAGAACTGTAAAAGTGACGCTACCCAAATTTGTACTTGATCTGAGTTTTGTGGTAATAAGCATTGTTTATAAGTTTCATTACATTTGCTTAAGGCAAACTAAAGTTGAGAGAACAGAAACGAATATTTCAGCAATTTTTCCATTTGTAAAGGGCCATAACTCTAGAACGGTAAAAGTGACGCCACCAAACTTCGAACTTGATTTGTGTTTTGTGGTAATTAGCATTGTGCATAAGTTTCATAATATTTGGTTAAGGCAAACTAAAGTTAAGAGAACAGAAACAAATATTTCAGCAATTTTTCCATTTGTAAAGGGCATAACTCTAGAACGGTATAAGTGACACAACCAAAATTCAAACTTGATTTGTGTTTAGTGGTAATAAGCATTGTGTATAAGTTTCATAACATTTGGTTGAGGCAAACTAAAGTTAGAAAACGGAAACGAAAAATTCAGCAATTTTTCCATTAGTAAAGGGCATGACTCTAGAACGGTAAAAGTGATGCCACCAACATTCAAACTTGATCTGTGTTTTGTGGTAATAAGCATTGTGTATAAGTTTCATAACATTTGGTTGAGGCAAACTAAAGTTAGAGAAAGGAAACCAATTTTGAAATGTACATACGGACGTACAGACAGACAAGGGTAAAACTTAATGCCCCCTCCGCTACGGTTTGGGCATAAAAATCCTTGTACTTATTGGTATCAATAGTTGTTAAAATAAAATTTTCAATGTCAATGAAGCATGGAATCTAGGTTATAGTGACCAACTTCATTCCTGATGATGAACTCTCCCTGAAACATCTCTATACATATGATCCTTTATACACTATTAAAAAACAACATAAAAACTGCCCTTTTCCTAAAAATGCATATCTACACATGTTTTATTTTAGATGCTCCTATTACTTGTATGTCACAGTGACCACATAACTTTGCTTGGAAGTTGATCCACATACAAAAATGCATATAGTTAAGCTATTTGCAGCTTATTTTACAGTTTGTTCTTATGTTGTGCTGCAACATAACACTGCCAGGTTAGAGAGAGGGTTGAGAGTTTAACCACGCCACATTCTCTATGTGCCTATCACAAGTCAGGAGCCTGTATGGTAATTCAGTTGTTGTCGTTGGTTCATGTCTGTCATATTTGTTTTTATACGACAGCAAAAAATTTGCGTTCGTATACTGCTATCATGTCATTGTCGTCTTGGTTTCCAGACAATAACTTTAGTATAATTGAATGGATCACCATGAAATTGTACCACAATGTTCCATACCACAAAGGGAAGGTTGGGATTGACTTTGGGGGTTATGGCCCAAACAATTCAGGAATTAGGGGCATAAAAAGGGGGGGAGGGGGGGAAACAAGGTTTTTCTGGTTAATGGACAATTACTTAAGTATTAGTCTATGGATCTCTATGAAATTAAAACACAAGGTTTGACTTTGGAGGTTATGGCTCAAACCGATCAGGAAAAAAAAGGGGGGGGAGGAACAAGGTTTTTCTGGTTTCCGGATAAATACTAATGTATTAGGCAATGGATCTATATGAAATTGTACCACAAGGTTCCATACCACACACAGTAGGTTGGGATCGATTTTGTGGGTTGTGGCTGTAATCGTTAAGAAACTAGAGGCCAAATAGGGGTAAAAAACAAGACTTTTCTAATACTGGCTAAGCTGGTTCTAATGTAAATTATTTCTGATCTATATAAAGAAACAACAAATACTGATATGGCAGAAGATACACACCTAACAGGGTGTGTAAATTATTATATTTAGTTTGTAAACAGATTTACTAAGTATTGTGCAACAGCAAAGTATTGCACAACAGCAAGAAATCTTCAATTGAAAATAAATACAAATCTTTTAACCCATTTCAATGAGGATTGATTTAAAGTCTTGAATTGTTTGAGATTTTTACCATGTATTACTAGGTCTACATTGAGGTCCAAAATTAGATTTTGGTTGATTTCATCAAAAACTGAATTCTTGTGGTTCTATGATATGCTGAATCTAATTGTGCATTCAGATTTTTAATTTTGGGCCCTGTTTTCAAATTAGTCCATATTAAGGTCCAAAGGGTCCAAAATTGTCTTGGTCTCCATTAATTTGCAGTAATTTACAGATAATGGCATTCGTCCTAAAGAGAAATTTTAGTTTTGCAGCATTTTCATTAAACATTGAACCAAGATAACAGTATAAATTAAAACTTGTCTAATAAAGTATAAGTCTTGTCCTTTAATGTATTAAGATACTGAAACTCATGCTTTTTGTTGAGCCTGTGACTTTTGTCACAGAAAGCTCGACATAGGGATAGTGATCTGGCAGCGTTAACTAACTTTTTAAAAGCTAAATATTTCAGAAGGTAGAAGACCTGGATGCTTCATACTTTGTTTATAGATGCCTTATGATATGAAGTTTCCTTCTGTCATATGTCCATTGTCCTTGACCTCATTATCATGGTTCAGTGACTACTTGAAAAAAAAGTTCAGATTTTTTGTAATGTTAATTTCTCTCTTATTATGAGTAATAGGATAACTATATTTGGTATGTGCGTACCTTGCGAGGTCCCCATGCCTGTCAGACAGTTTTCACTTGACCTCGACCTCATTTCATGGATCAGTGAACAAGGTTAAGTTTTTGTGGTTGAGTCCATATCTCAGATACTATAAGCAATAGGTCTACTATATTTGGTGTATGTAATGATTGTAAGGTGTACATGTCCAACTGGTAGGTGTCATCTGACCTTGACCTCATTTTCATGGTTCAGTGGTCATAGTTTAGTTTGTGTGTTTTGGTCTGTTTTTCTAATACTGTATGCAATAGGTCAACTATATTTGGTGTATGGAAATATTTTATGATGTACATGTCAGTCTGGCAGGTTTTATTTGACCTTGAACCTCATTTTCACAGTTCAGTGGTCATAGTTTAGTTTTTGTGTTTTGGTCTGGTTTTCTAATACTGTATGCAATAGGTCAACTATATTTGGTGTATGGAAATATTTTACGATGTACATGTCAGTCTGGCAGGTTTTATTTGACCTTGACCTCATTTTCACGGTTCATTGCTCAATGTTAAGTTTTTGTGATCTGGTCTGTTTTTCTGATATTGTATGCAAAAGGTCAACTACATTTGGTGTATGGAAATATTTTAGGATGCACATGTCAGTCTGGCAGGTTTTAATTGACCTTGACCTCATTTTCATGGTTCATTGCTTATGTTAAGTTTTTGTGTTTTGGTCTGTTTTTCTTAAACTTTAAGCAATATTTCAACTTTATTTGGTGTATGGAATGGTTGTAAGGTGTATATGTATGTCGGGCAGGTATCATCTGACCTTCACCTCATTTTCATGGTTGATTGGTCAATGTTCAGTTTTCCTGGTTAACTTTACTACCCAAAAGCTATTTATTAGAGCAGAATCTATAATCCCTAGCCATACAGAACTGCCAGGGCGATGGTTTTGAACAAGTGGGTGACCCCAGTGCATATTTTATCAAATATGACTTTTTTTCCGTGTTACGGACGAAATTTTCGGCCTTTAAAGAATGCTTACCCCAGAAATTCTTTACCCTCACGTTGTAGTACTATCCAATAGCTATTCCTTTGGGCAGCGTCTATAATGCCTAGCCATAAAGAACTACCGAGACAATGGGTCGGAAAGTGGGTGTCCCCAATGCGTATTTTATCGAATTTGGCTTTATTTCCATGTTTCGGACGCAATTTTCGTCCTCTAGGAATGCTTACCCCAGAAATTCGTTGGCCCCTCGTCGTAGTACTACCCAAAAGCTATTTATTAGAGCAGAATCTATAATCCCTAGCCATACAGAACTGCCGGGGCAATGGTTTTGAACAAGTGGGTGACCCCAGTGCATATTTTATCAAATATGACTTTTTTTCCGTGTTACGGACGAAATTTTCGGCCTTAAAGAATGCTTACCCCAGAAATTCTTTACCCTCACGTTGTAGTACTATCCAATAGCTATTCCTTTGGGCAGCGTCTATAATGCCTAGCCATAAAGAACTACCGAGACAATGGGTCGGAAAGTGGGTGTCCCCAATGCGTATTT